ATTGATACAAAGTGTATAACAGTTTAAGACAACGCCTTCAGTATGTGTGTTACGTCTTCTTCTGTGGACTAAGTGCAACCTTATCTGTTGGAAGATCTCTTTTTCAGGTAACGACACGCCCACCGTCCTCCGTTTGGTGAATTTCTCATATGGGTTTCACGAAGTCGTCTATGTGGGTGTAGAGTCATTTGCACATATCTGTTTAGATACGTTCATTAGTGATACACATTGATGTCGTGTAAAAATAATTAACTTCAATTTATGAAACGGATGTAAAATCCGAAATTTAATTCCACAATTTACAAAACTTAATACCCGACATTAGCTCACTGTCTGATTTTCGTTGCTATTCTTAAGTTAGTGTATTTTGAAGTCAATAGGTCTGAAACACCGCGATTAAGATGTTTTATGTTGTATATATAGAATACAAAAGCGTGATTAAATCACGTCCCCAGAAAGAAGTAAAGTGTGATTTCCTGACAAGACTTGGTTATCACATAAACAAAGCTCCCAAAAACAATGTTTTCCTTATCCATATTCCAATTATCGTTTCTATGAATGCTGTCGTGTCGTGTTCGTTACGGTCTGTTGAGTTTGTAATCGCCTTTGCTTCCTTGTGAGTTCATGTTGAACCCTGTCTGTATTTGATGGTATTTATTAACGAATTTCTCTTATTTTCGGTGCATGAAGTTAAATTGTAAGAGATGCGTGTTACCAACAGGTTCTTATAATCGGTATATTTAACTTAAGTAATTACTGTTGATTGTAACCTGTCGATATGTTATATGATATAGGGACCCTAATTACTATGAGTTTTCAAGGTCACTGATATAGGGACCCTAATTACCAAGAGTTTTCAAGGTCAACGATATAGGGACCCTAATTATTATGATTTTCAAGGTCACTGGTATAGGGACCCTAATTACTATGAGTTTTCAAGGTCACTGATATAGGGACCCTAATTACTATGAGTTTTCAAGGTCACTGATATAGGGACCCTAATTACTATGAATTTTCAAGGTCACTGATATAGGGACACTAATTACTATGAATTTTCAGGGTCACTCAGATTGGTTAATATAGACATATTTTACATAACCCCAAGAAATTGGCGATCATGGCAAGTATTTTTTTCGGCTAACACACGTAGATTTCTCGGACAGTGGAAGAAAGTCAGTATAGATCCAGTTTCGAATAAAAAGTTATAACGGTTTTAAAACATTCATCTGATTGGACACAAGTTTTTACAGTTTGTCACTGTACTTTTCTTCGAATTACACTAATTACACAGATACAGGCAATTAATTGATAAGACAATTGACGCAATATATATAGTGAACGATATCTTATGTGGAAATGGGGGAGAGAGAGAGGGGGGAGAGAGAGAGAGAGAGAGAGAGAGAGCGTTCGCCGTGGTTTATATAATTTTGAACATTTTTTTAATAAAAAATTTACTGTCAGCTTTATGGGTATATATATGAGTAAATCTAGAGTTAAATTATAAAGTAAAGGCTGTCAATTTGAATTGTCTTGTTAATAGCTGTTGTTTCTGAATGTATATATACACTCTACAAAAGCTATTAACAAGACAATATATAAGGAACAAATACAAAGATAGAGATAAAAATCCACACATTGACTGTCGTATCTACATTCAGCTGAAGTTTTTGTGATTGGAGATCTATGTAAACATTTCATTTCATATCTCAAACAATCAACGATTTAATTGTTTCTTACTTTAAAGGTTCTCACAAGAAACAAAATAGAAAAATACCAAGTGATCTTTCTTCAATAAAAAGCACAAAGAAAATAAAACGCCGCCAGGAGCATTCGAGTACCAGGTACACTTTCATAATGTCAAATACCTGGCGACCAATGATAAACTTTACCAAACACTTCACTTTGAATTTTTGCATTTTGGGAGATTTCTAATTTCTGATACGTTGTTTTCGGACATCAACAATAATAATGAACAGCATCGCTTTGTTAAGAGCAAAATTCTATTAATTTACCAGTTTCACGTAATTTCAATGAAGCCGAGATTATTATTATTATTTTTGTATAAAATTTGTTCTTATTGTTTTTCCTATTATTCTTATTGACTTTATATCAGAAACACTTTTTTGTATTAAGTTTAACTAACCTAACTAAGGTGATTGAGAACCTATTTTTTCAATAAACAGCATGGAATTAAATAAAAGAAGTTATGTATCAATCCAATTATAAGCTGAAAAGAAATATTACCGCTATAGATCAAAGAAGTTCTTGAAATTGAAAATTAGATAGTTGAACTTTTGGTGTATTGATTACAATTATTTTCAAGAATGAGATTTACTTTGTAAAGAGTTACATCATATGTTTGAAATAGTGAATTGTTAGGATTTATAAAATGTACAATAGTTTGCTCTCCCTCTGCTTCTGTTAAACTCTTCAGTCACTTCCAAAGGCGAAGTTAATACAGCAACAAATCTCCTGATCAAATTAATTGCTGATGTCGTTATAGTGACATATGTCAGAGTATGTAAATATAATCCTATGGAACACTTTGTTGATATAATACAGAAGATGCAAAATCATTTCTCATTTTTAAATTTTGAATAAAGTGTTAAAGATTTGCTTTGTCCGTGTAATTCAGCTCAACCTATATTTGGCTAAAATATTGCTGTGAGAGGGCTAATTAAGCCAAGTAAATGTATTAACAAACAATTAAGTTAATCACTAAGGGTAGGATATTGGTGCAAACATTTTAAGTGTGTGGTTGATATACGGAAGGTAATTAACAATATTAAAATTTTTCTTTCATACATGAAACAAGAAATTAGCAATCAAATTGTAATATCATTGTGGTAGTGTGACACAACTGTAACTTTCGAATATTTTTTTTTTTTAAATGAAAGTTGAAAAATACATATATCATACGGCCCTGGAACAGTTATTAGAGAGATATATCATACAAGTATGACTGAATTAATTATTAAGTTACTATTTATACAAAGATAAAGTAGGAACCATCATCTTTTTCCAAGCAGTATGTGAATATGATCAAGCACATTATTATGCTTAAAATACCCAACAAAAACCCAAACCGTTCTATTACAATATTTTTAAAATGCAAGATGATGTTTTCACCATTAGAAATTGCATGTAATTTCAGGTAGATGTCAAGGTCATTAGACATAGGTTACTTATACTGATCACGAAGAGGATCTGACGGAGGACATAGATGTCAAGGTCATTCTATAAAGATTACCGATACAAATCACAAAGTGGATCTGACGGAGGACATATTCTCCAGACACAGCAATTAGCTTCCGGTAAAAATCGCAAAGAAAAATATCTTCGTCAGAAAAGGCACCATTGAGAAAATCAAAACTAAAGTCTAACCCAGGGTCAATGTCTTCTAGCAATGAAGAACGTTTTAGGTCAAGGACAAACCATAGTTCACAGATACATGTTGTCTTTAATTTGATAAACTTAGATGTTTGAATGGAGTTATGGCATTATGTACAGTAAATATCAAATGTAAACCAAACGATAACACTTTCTTTCAAATTTCCGCATGTGGGAAGATGTAGTCGGGCTTTTCTATCTTAATGATGTGAAGTGACATACCTTATCATCTTTTGTAAATCACATGTTGGTCAACTGTCTGCTGTTAAACAGAAATGTGTGAGAGTGAAAGGATAAGTTAATGTGTCTCTGAGCAGATATTAGCCGCTGTAAATATATGTCACTATCTAATTAAATCACTCAATCTTTTACCACTTTTTTCAGAAAGTGCTCAGAGGACATCACCAGAGGAACAATTAGTCAACAGAACATGACATTTATGTTGCAATGATTAGCTGTTGCTTAAAGTGCATGTATATTCCTGATAGGCGTGGCGGGGGTAATCGGCTTAATAAAGAATGCAATTCATCTTAATGTCTTCTGTTTAAGATGTGAACATATTTAAATATTTGTTTCAGTGTTGATCTTACGTTAAAAGCACGCCGCTGGAGAAATACATGTTCTATTTCGATCCTGGAATATTGTATGGATATCTGAGCTCACAACACCCGTTATATATATATTTTTTTCATTTTCATACATAAAAGAAATGATTTCAATGCCTACTTTAAGTGATTAATAGTATATTCTGGTAATACTGATTTTGATCAAACTCAGTTCGTCATCAGTAATTTAATAGTAGTCAAAATAAATGAAATATTGACTCAACATTGAAGGGAGGTAACACTGTATAGTAGCGTATATTTGGGCCTGTAAACCCTGTACAATGTTCCCGTGTGGTCAGATAAACTTATTCAGTCAAAATCATTCTGACACCCCAGAGTTTCACTCTATCAGTAAAAATGGTATAGCGATAAGTTTGAAAGTCGATAGGGGCCGCGAACGGTCAAAATGTACTCAGATAAGTTTATTGTGGTTACGTACATTCACGTAAACTTAGTATTTTCTTATGGAATAATCGTATAATAATTATTTTCAACAGAGACATATATAACACAGATATAGCCTATACGTTTCTGTTTTCAAGGACTTAACATGGATGCCTATAGAGTTATCCGTCCGTGGTATTTTTTATTTTGGTACAAAAAAAAACGTGTTTAAGTAAAGAGTCCTATTTTGGTGAATCTTGAATTAAATTGAATTTAAGAAATTATAAAATTTTCTTTTCATGTTTACAATCCATCAATATTTAAACATGATAAAAATGGTTGACGATAATGTTGTCGGAAAAAATAAGCTCGATTATAAGATACATCCTCCCGGAAGTCGAAATTAAAGCACTTATAAATAGACTGGTTGGCTGCCGTAGTTTTTATCTCTTCACTTAATTCCGTTTAGAAGTTTTACCGAGCACAGTATTGCGGATGTTTTATTAATTATTTATTTACGTCCACTATTGTTGTAATTTACAAACTGTACGAGTAGTTTCCCTTGGTGGTAAATCTTGTCAATGAGAAGGTAGAAAACTAAATATCAACACAGCCTCCCCAGGTCAGATGATGCCGAAAGTTCGAAGATTGCCTTAGTCTGTTTGTCTTTAAAAAAACGTAAGCTACACGCGAGTTTCACTAATTCAAAACGACATTTTTGCGCTGTCGAGCGTAATTATATGTAATTGATTGTAATGATGCTGGTAAGCACTAAATAAGACATTCTAACGCTCGGCTAAAGGAAAAAAATCCCACTGCTAAGTAGGAAAAGGCGATCTGGGCTTCATTCGCGAAATCCGGTTGAAACGGTTCAGGTGGCCTGGAACTATCCCAATATACATGAAAACACGTGTGCCTGTTATTTGAACTGATATATATAACGCTGAAAGTGCACAGTTTCGGAATTTGCTGTCAAGCAGAAATCGATGAACTAAATCCATTTTTACTTTTTATTCTGAAAACTAATGACATGCAGCAAGTTAGTCTTGGGCAGGTACGGCTGGACCCCTCTAACTGCACATGCCAAATATTCCGCAGTTCAGCCTTGGTTTTGATCTGTACCTGGCGTTTTTCATGCAGGTTCAACTGGTCCAACCGTTTCAACTGCTTACGCGAAAGCACCCCTTTACTCACAACTTCTACACTACCCCTCCTTCACAAAGTCTTCGACCTCAAAAACACCAACCAAGGTTTAGTATCTCCAAGTAAGCATTTTAATCTCCTATAGCTTCTAGTCTTTGTGTGGTCAACGGCACCAAATCTGTAATTGGAAGAAGTAATGAAAAACACACTGCAAATGCTGGGGTTTGAAATAGTGAGTCTGTGATCTCCAGATGGACACTCTACCACTCGACTAAAGGGAACTTCACACAAGTCAAGGCTAATAAGACAACCTCTTCTCACAACTTCTACATAGAGACGAACAGGAAATGTCAGGAACCTGACACAAACACTAAATTGGTTGTTATTGTATCGGATCTGTTGAGCATATCACACACCACACAGTTAATGTCAACTTACATGCTATACTTCTAACAGTATATAATTCATTTTATTAAAATTGTCTATAGACTTCATGAAACATCTTAAATTAAAAATTACCTGTGGTGTTACATGTCTGTGCTGACATGGTTTTACCAAGATACCTAACCCTAATTGCTCCTATATATATAGTAAGGTAGCCACCAGCTACTTAAGGAAACCCCACCTCCAAATGACCATGGGTGTTCACAGGATTACAAACCAGGGTTTTCCATAATTTTGTTAGTAGTAGACTGTGTAGTGAAAGTAGGAGGCTGGCCTGCTGTGTATGTGTAGTCGTGTACAGAACATTATTACGGAACTGGATTGGTGTCGGCGGCCAAATGATCAAAGTAGCCAGTTAAATTGGCCGGCGACTGGCTTGTATGGAAAACTCTGTAAACCCTGCAAAACAAACAGAATTTTAAATGTTCTTGTTTCAGTCAAACAGACTAGACATTAGACTCTGTAAATCACTAGTGATTAGCTTCAAAAACAGTTACAGAAAATGACAAAATGTTCATGATTCAGCTTCACTGAAATGTTAGAATAATTAGTGACTATAAATAATTACTTGGGTAATATCAGAGTTACGTTTATAAGCTTATATTACAGAACAATGTTTAATACCCAGTGATGTTCACACCTGGACTAAAAGTGTTTCTCCCCAACTTTACACTTTCTTGTTGCTGTGATGTTATAGATAAAATATAACCAGTGCCTGACAATCATCACATCAGTACTATAACTGCCCATATTTTCGATGTTATGTTTTACGTTCTAGGATATGGCTTCCATCCTCGATCAGTATGAGGAAGAATCTGCGAGAGCAGCATCAGTCCGCACCACAATGCCACCTGTTCAGGAGCCGGTAACTATATAGATGAATAATTTACCTTTCTAATATTCCTGCCATTTCAGTGTCATTTTTGTCACGGTTCCATCGTTACAAAGTGAAGAGTTATACAAGTTTTCACTTTTATATGTCGGTCGTAAGTTGACCAAACCAATGTTATTATAAAAAAATCACATATATTGAACATATGTAAAACATCACTAATTCTGAGCGTATAAGCTTAGTTGATTAGTAACTTCAATTATGATAAACCTGTTTTGTTTTAGTTTTGTTGAATTTGGTAACATTATGAAGTTGAAGACTAGGCAAGGATGTTCCTAGTGTATCTGTACTGTAAAACACAATGTTGTACAATATGTTTAAATAATGTGTTATTTAACTAATAATTCTAGTCTTCCTTTTGTTTATTCTATTCTGTGTTTTGTAGATTGGACCTGGATTCATTGATGCCAGACTAGATACAGATGTTCCAATTTTTAGTAAAAAGAAGGTCAACTTCAAGTGAGTTATTGAAAATCTGTTTTATCTTTCACTGTTACATTATTGATTAATGCTTCATCAGACGAAAATTATCTGACATGAGGAAAATGATAACATTTGACATTTTCATATTGTTCCTGCTTTCTAAAAGGCTTGAGATCTTTTACTACAGCAAAAAGGAAATAGATATTTCACAAACCATCACATATTTTATGGCTGAGGTCTGTATATTTCTGTGCTGATGGTTTGATAAATATATACTACTAGTTGTTTATTACTTTCTGGTCCTTTGGATTGGTTGATAAGTTGAACTTTGACCAATTACAAAAGGGCACCTTGCATATTTACAGAAATGAAAACATGCAACATATAGTTCATGATTGTAATAATTTTATTTTTATGAAGAATAATATAATTTATTGTTTTGAAGATAACAAATCACTTTATTACCTGACAGTGTATGATTTGTAAGAATTATAATATATTTGCATTAACAAAAGACATATTGGTACAGAACAAGTCATCTTTTTAACTGTGGTAAAGACAGGTCACATAAACTTGTGTTATTAGGATATAAGGTACTTTTAACTGATAATGTAAATGATCTTAAGATATATAGCAGGATAACATCCTCAATTGTCCTGATGATGATACATGACAGGATAACATCCTCAATTGTCCCGATGATGATACATGACAGGATAACATCCTCAATTGTCCTGATGATGATACATGACAGTTTAACATCCTCAATTGTCCTGATGATGATACATGACAGGATAACATCCTCAATTGTCCTGATGATGATACATGACAGGATAACATCCTCAATTGTCCTGATGAAGATACATGACAGTTTAACTTCCTCAAACCTCATTATGATAAAGATACCTTTAAGGCAATGTTTTTGAGTCACAGTTGAAACTCTTTTTAAATCCTTTGAGATATGACTTCTTTTTTTGCCAGACCGCCTGACCCTATAACACATATGGCAGTATGTAACAACTTCCTGGTGATATCAATGACCAGTAATATCTTACTGCGCCTCGACCTCGAACATCCTGAAACACCAGATGGTAAGATTAAATGATTATAAAAAACAGATATATTATCTTAACACGGTACATTTGTATGCAATTTGGTCAGTATCTTATTATTTAATTTTAATCACACTTTGTTGACCTTTCTGTTATTTAGTTAGACAGGTATGTCAGATTATGTACACACACTGTGTTGCCTTGTCTATTAATTAGTTAGCCATGTATGTTAGATTATGCAAACATATTAGTTGGACAAAGATTCTTTTTAACTTGTGAATTGGTTTTAAAGTATTGATGAAATTGTCCAAATACTTCCTAGGAATAGTCAGGATTTTTATACTGTTATATACAAAGTTACAGTAATAATATTTGTGTATTAAACAAGTTATCATACTGTTTTTGTAATAAACAACTTTTGTAGTGTTCTTCTGTACTTAATGTTTGTGTTAACAGAGGTGGAACTTCCAAGAGCTGTTGAAGACAAGGTTTACAAAATTTTTCTTGACCCAACTGGCAGACATCTTATTGTCAGCATGGAATCTACTGAGAATTACTATCTCTCCCGTAACTCGAAGAAGCCACGTCCCATAGGCAAACTAAAGGTACCTTGGTGCATTCAATAGTTTTATCTTTCTTATTATATACCAGTCTGTTCAATTAGGAAAAGGGAAATCTGGTCATTTGGAAATTATTGTACACAGGCTTTGGTGGTTCAGGGCAAAAGGAACGTGCAATATATACTGATGTAGGGCCTCTAGATATTATGAAATGTGCTTATTTAACAATAATATGGTAAGATCAAGGGCAAAAAACCAACCATGTGGGTTTTCCCCGGGTAGTCCCACACTAAGACCCCTCACGCGCTTCCATTCGAGCCAACAAGAGTGATTTATAAAAGTTGGAAAAACTTGCTTCGTAATTGTTGTGAAATAAATAAAGTTTATTATAAGGGCAAAAAAAGGTAGATGTACTAATTCAGGGCTCTACTAATATGTACTGATTCAGGGCTCTACTAATATGTACTGATTCAGGGCCTAAATAGCATGTAATGATCAAAGCAGAAAGAACACATAACTCATATTGTTGCAGACCCTCATCTTAACATGCCAAGTGTATTGATGAGGGTTTTTATATGATGACAATGTTATGGGATTCTCTAACATACAGCTATTGTTTTAGGGTCATCATGTGCATGCAGTTGGTTGGAACCTACAGAATGCCAATGACAACACAACAGGTGCCATCCTCCTGGGCACTAGTAAGGGTAAGACTGAATCCTTTATCCTTAGCACTAGAAATCATAGGATCAATACATCTCAGTGTAATACATTTGGAGTGAAGTACACTAAAATATGGTAAATGTTGACATATGTTCATTTACAGTGTTAGAAATTTCTGTGTTATAGATACTGAATGGCAGATTCCTGAATGTGTTTTGTTTTCTGTTTTAGGTCTGATATTTGAAACAGAATTAACAGATAATGAAAACAGTCGTTTTTTCCAGGGAAGTTTGGACCAATACCTGAAACAGGTAAAGACAAGAGAAAGTGTTTCACGGAGCAATGTTGACAAGTGTCTCAAGATTACACGATAGTCTTCTATATCAAAAATTAATTAATAGTGAAACATGGACCAGTATCTAAAAACATCTAAAGAATATTACAGGAAAGCCTAAATTTACATCTGAGCAAGTTAAGAACATTTCACATTTTGTAGGACAACTTTTGATTATTGAAGTATTTGATAAAGCCTTGATATACCAGGTAACTACTAGACATTAGTAACACAATATGAGGATTATAAATTTGAACATGATTAAGTATCAATCAAATTCATTTGTACAACACTTTGAATTCAATTGTACAGTTCTTGGAATTCATTTGTACAACACTTTGAATTCAGTTGTACAGTTCTTGGAATTCATTTGTACAACGTTTTGAATTCAGTTGTACAGTCCTTGGAATTCATTTGTACAACACTTTGAATTCAGTTGTACAGTCCTTGGAATTCATTTGTACAACACTTTGAATTCATTTGTACAGTCCTTAGAATTCAGTTGTAAAGTCCTTGAATTCACACACAGAATTCATGTTGCATAGCACTTCAAATTCATTTGTACATCACATATAATTTGTACAGTACCTGTAGGAGAACAGGTGTTAATGTTATATCTTGTGTTCCTCTTAAATGCAGCTGAAAATTCTGGCTCGTCCAGAGGAGGTACTAGCTATTGTATACAGTTATAAATAAACTTCTCAGTTCTTTGCCTGCTTTTTCTGTTAATTCAATGGTACAAGTTATTGAAGAAAGAAAAAATAAAAATCAAACAAACATTACTTTAATCCTGCCTTGCAGACCAAAGGTGAAAAGTACAATCGTAGAATTAACAGTTTTTGTAGTAAAGCATTTTCATTTGCTTGAAACGCCACTGTTGTAATTGTGTGAATTCATTTTTAATAATGTATCTGATGCATGGAAAATCGCATATATTCCTGAGTTGTTTGTAGTAAGTGACGCTGTAAGATAGTATATATCTTTAGCTCACTATCATCAGGTTGTTATTGCTGTTTCTTCAGAAGCTACTTATAGATCATTCAAAACTTTCATGTGTAGGCCCCCCATTTCCCCTGGTTGTGTATATTTGCCTTTGGGATCAAACTACTCAGCTATTTGATGGTGGGCAAAAAAATCCCTATGAGACCTCTTGGTGCTGTAACCTGTAACACCTCAAGCTAAGGTCAGGGTTAGTGTTCCCTGTAATACTGCAATATAGCATATATCTTTAAGTAAAATGTCCTTAGTGACAAAGTAAGATATCATACAGCCTCATGTTAGTATACTTCTGTGTTATTATGACAGCATATAGCCTTAAGTCTAGTATGTATATTTGTATATCCTTGAATATCCTAGATTGTCATGAGAGAAGTTCCAAGGTAGTATATAACCTTAAGTCAGTTGTCTTCCCTCATGACTCTGTTAATCTAGCATATAGCTTTAAGTCCATTGCTCTATATGACATTGTAAGAGGGAATTCATCCTTTGCATGTGTCAAGAATGCAGTAATGCAGATTTCTAGAGTGTAATTTGGGGGTTGGGGTTGGGAGAGAGGGTTGATGGGGGGAGGGGGTTGGTTAAAGACTACTGACAGCTTGCTTTTTTTGTGTTTCTCGTAAGATTGGTTGTGATTGCATGTATTGTTTAAAGTGTTTAAGTTTTTATATATATTTTATATCATGTGATTTACCTACCTTTATATATTGATGAGATTGATATACATTCAACAGTGTGAGGTTGTACATTTATCTTATACTGACTCCTACCAGGTCATCTTGTTGTTGTACAGTAAATGTTTAGTATGAGGTTATATATATATATGGTTTTCCAGTTGGTAGAATGCATCACTTTTATAATAGATTACTACACTAAAATATATGACATCAACAATGTGTTACTCAATACTAGTGTTAATCACTTTCATAATGTATTACTACTACAATGTATTGAATCAACAATGTGTCACTTAATACTAGTGTTGATCACTTTTATAATATATTACTACTACAATGTATGACATCAACAATGTGTTACTCAATACTAGTGTTAATCACTTTTATAATGTATTACTGCTACAATGTATGACATCAACAATGTGTTACTAGTAAATACTACTGTTAATAGGACATCTAACAACATTTTACTGAACTAAACTACTACTAAACTAGAATATATTTCATTAAAATGTCTTATTTCTAGAATGTATTACTACTAGAATGCTTTACTATTAGAATGTTTTACTACTAGAATGTCTCACCACTAGAATGTTAGAGGCATAGAGGTAAATCACAACAGGTGAAGAGGCTGGGTTCTAAGATTTATTGTTGTCAACCAGTTTCACCTCTCGGGTTTCTTCAGTGCACAAATTTACACAGAGATTTTACCCCGATAAAAATGAGGAGACAAATCTCATTGTTGAATTATGGCGTCTAACTATTATACGAAAACCATAACTTAGTCACGGTTATTTTACTCATCAATAACAATGTTATGCAAAATTGTGGCCTGAAGAAGCCTGAGAGGTCAAAACCAGTTGACTGGCAGTTTTACTACTAGAATGACATACTTCTAGAATGTCATACTACTAAAATGTCTACTAAAATGTCATACTACTTGAATGTATCACTACTAAAATGTCATACTACCTGAATGTATTACTACTGAATGTCATACTACTATATGTCATACTACAAAAATGTATCACTACTGGAATGTCATACTACTAGAATGTATCACTTCTAAAATGTCATACTACTAGAATGTATCACTACTAAAATGTCATACTACTAGAATGTATCACTACTAAAATGTCATACTACTAGAATGTATCACTACTAAAAAGTTGGGTTTTTTTTCAGTTGTTTAACCTGGGTAAATCCAAGGCTGTTGCAATCACAGGACTGGAGTTTGACAGAATGCCATCTGATGCTATGACTGAATATAAATATTTTATCATGATCACCACTCCAGGGTAGGTACTTTAGCTGTAATATCATGATAAAATTATTATGAAGTCAGAAAACCTGATTAATCTTGTGTGATAGTTGATGGCCTGTTGATTGAATTTGTGTATATGGTGGTTCCATTATATTGTTTGTCAATAAAAGCTTATTATGAGATTTGTTTGTGAAATGTGTTTTGGTTAATATGTTAACTTCCTTTAATTGAGTAAAGATTGATATCATATGTGGCAGACATAGGTAAGAAATCAAACAGTAACATCTATCATTGTGTTTATTATAGTCGTCTGTACCAGTTTATTGGAAATGTGTCCAAGTCGTCGGAGCCCCCAATGTTCCAGCCTCTGTTCCAGCAGTATGAAAACAAACCAGGTACTCACTGCAGCCAACTGTAAATTTAGTACTGACCATCTGTGACCTGTGTGTTTATTTCTGTCAATGTGAACTGTCCATCTGTGACCTGTGTGTTTATTTCTGTCAATATTAACTGTCCATCTGTGATCTGTGTGTTTATTTCTGTCAATGTGAACTGTCCATCTGTGACCTGTGTGTTTATTTCTGTCAATGTGAACTGTCCATCTGTGATCTGTGTGTTTATTTCTGTCAATGTGATCTGTCCACCTGTGACCTGTGTGTTTATTTCTGTCAATGTGAACTGTCCACCTGTGACCTGTGTGTTTATTTCTGTCAATGTGAACTGTCCATCTGTGACCTGTGTGATAATTTCGTAATGTGAACTGTCCATCTGTGACCTGTGTGATAATTTCGTAATGTGATCTGTCCACCTGTGACCTGTGTGATAATTTTGTAATGTGATCTGTCCACCTGTGACCTGTGTGATAATTTCGTAATGTGATCTGTCCACCTGTGACCTGTGTGTTTATTTCTGTCAATGTGATCTGTCCATCTGTGACCTGTGTGATAATTTCGTAATGTGAACTGTCCACCTGTGACCTGTGTGTTTATTTCGTAATGTGAACTGTCCACCTGTGACCTGTGTGATAATTTCGTAATGTGATCTGTCCACCTGTGACCTGTGTGTTTATTCTTGTCACTTTTCAGATTATATTAATGGCCTCTGCTAAATATGGTCATTGCTTTTAAAAACATTTATCTCAACAGTTAAGATAAAGATTTGCTCAAACAATGTCATATTTCTATTGTGATTTTACATGTTTGATTTGTTCAGGAAACAGTAAGACTACATGAAAGGTTATAACCTGAGTTATTCATGTATGTGACTTGTGTTTAATACCTTAACAATAAAGTTGTTCTTGTGATAAACAGAACAGTTCCTAGAGCTGCCAGGAGACTTTGGAAATAGTGAATTAAAGCTGTACCTACCAAGATTCCGAGCTGCTCCAAAGAATTTTGCTTGGATGACTGGTAAGTATCACCAGGAAGTAAATAATAATAACTGATTTAACAACTCTAGGAATTTTAAAGGTGAAAGTTCATCGGTTCACATTTCAAATGGAAATTCATTTTAGACCCTTTTTTGTCATATTTTTCAAGCAAATATATCAGAATATTGACATTTTTAGATCAAACTTAAATTCACATCCACTATGTATCCATGACCTCCATGGTTACATCACAGTGCCATCTGTGAATGTGTGACGTCATTTCATTAAGTGACAATAAGCTGTAATACACACATGTGTAAATGCAAAAATATGACATAAGTATATTCCCTAAATAACAAGACAATCATGTGATTAATACAATCTGTTACCTGTAACTGAGTGAGATCGTGGGTATCTCGGTCGAGGGCTAAGATCCAGTAACATAATTCTAACTGATGCGTTAGCCAAGGTTAGATAGTTACAGGATCTTAGCCCGAGACTGTGATACCCCGATCTTGTTCACTTACAGGTAGTAGTTTTTTCTCGCATCTACAGCCTCTTCACTTTTAAATATCGTTTGGATAGTGCTGCATAAACAATGTAGGCAGGAATTAAAAGTACTGTACTACCTTTCAAGAGGGCTGGTCGCATTTTCGATTTCATTTTAAATATGATTAATTAAATAGAATATCGTTGAAATTTCAACAACAACATAACCCATGCTTTTGTTGAAATACATGGGTTTAGGTGCCACTTATGCCTACACTTGGATGAATACACAGATGCATAAAGAATTACACGAAAACACGTGAGAGTATGATACAGATCGGGCGAAATAGAAAAATCTAGGATGGAGTATTAATTGGGATATCTCTGTCTGAAGTGTGAGAAAAATATACCTGTGACAGGGACTTAGTCTGGATAATCAGTACATATAGTGACAAGGACTAAGTCTAGATAATCAGTACATATAGTGACAGGGACTAAGTCTAGATAATCAGTATATATTGTGACAGGGACTAAGTCTAGAAAATCAATATATATAGTGACAGGGACTAAGTCTAGATAATCAGTATATATTGTGACAGGGACTAAGTCTAGATAATCAGTATATATAGTGACAGGGACTAAGTCTAGATAATCAGTATATATAGTGACAGGGACTTAGTCTAGATAATCAGTATATATAGTGACAGGGACTTAGTCTAGATAATCAGTATATATAGTGACAGCGACTGAGTCTAGATAATCAGTATATATAGTGACAGCGACTGAGTCTAGATAATCAGTATATATAGTGACAGGGACTAAGTCTAGATAATCAGTATATATAGTGACAGGGACTAAGTCTAGATAATCAGTACATATAGTGACAGGGACTAAGTCTAGATAATCAGTATATATAGTGACAGGGACTAAGTCTAGATAGTAAGTATATAAAGTGACAGGGACTAAGTCTAGATAATCAGTACATATAGTGACAGGGACTAGGTCTAGATAATCAGTATATATAGTGACAGGGACTAAGTCTAGATAATCAGTATATATAGTGACAGGAACATTGTCTGGATAATCAGTATATATAATGACAAGGACTAAGTCTAGATAATCAATATATATAGTGACAAATAGGCAAGTTTGATTGGACAAAACTAAGACTATGTTATGGTTGCTATTGTCTAGGACCAGGAGTGTATTACGGGGATGTAGAAGTGACTGGGGCTGCTGGCCCCTCCACCGTCACTACCAACACAAAGCTGATGCCTTACCCCCGTGACCCAGATGAGAGGGGCACTAACCCCCAGGCTATGGCTCTGACAGAATTTCATGTCCTGTTGCTCTTCCCTGACCGGTAAGTAGTGATGTTTTATAGCCCCCTCTTCATTACATACAAAAGACATACGATTTACCTAGCTGACAGTTCTATACATTTATATAGACAATGTAACAACATAGTAGATAATTGTTATGTAATAGTCAGACCCTAAATAATTAATGTGTTTAAATCTACATGATTAAACATAGGAAAACAAGGTAAGAAGAATGCCAATTACAAACATCAGCTTTGTGTAAACTTAGTAAACTTAGATAAATTATGTTTGACTACAATCATTTATCAGATGTAAGGTTCTGTATATGTACCAGCCTGACTAATACAATTATCTATCAGATGTAAGGTTCTGTATATGTACCAGCCTGACTAATACAATTATCTATCAGATGTAAGGTTCTGTATATGTACCAGCCTGACTAATACAATTATCTATCAGATGTAAGGTTCTGTATGTACCACTGAATTCATCATGTCTTTATCTGGTTTTGTATTGTCAGGATCAAGGTTGTCTGCGTCCTGAATGAACAGCCAATCTTTGATGACATTTACCCTGATGTAAGTAGAGTTCTCTGATATTGATATTTTAAATATGTGTTTTATTATTTACACTTTTGTTTTAAGATAATTTGAAAGTTTTGTCTGGTTAATAATTCTCTAATACAGCCAATACCTGATCACCTCTTTAATTCTGCATGAAGACCTGGCAGAGTTTGGACCATGAACTAAGACTGTGTAAATTGTTTTACAGAGATTGGGTCGTTTACAAGGACTATGTAAATTGTTTTACAGAGATTGGGACGTTTACTAGGACTGTGTAAATTGTTTTACAGAGATTGGGTCGTTTACAAGGACTATGTAAATTGTTTTACAGAAATTGGGTCATTTACAAGGACTTTGTAAATTGTTTTACAGAGATTGGGTCGTTTACTAGGACTATGTAAATTGTTTTACAGAAATTGGGTCATTTACAAGGACTTTGTAAATTGTTTTACAGAGGACTGACTATGTAAATTGTTTTACAGAAAGATAGGACTTTGTAAATTGTTTTACAGAGATTGGGTCGTTTACTAGGACTATGTAAATTGTTTTACAGAAATTGGGTCATTTACAAGGACTTTGTAAATTGTTTTACAGAGATAGGGTCGTTTACTAGGACTGTGTAAATTGTTTTACAGAGATTGGGACGTTTACTAGGACTATGTAAATTGTTTTACAGAGATTGGGACGTTTACAAGGACTGTGTAAATTGTTTTACAGAAATTGGGTCGTTTACAAGGACTGTGTAAATTGTTTTACAGAAATTGGGTCGTTTACTAGGACTATGTAAATTGTTTTACAGAGATTGGGACGTTTACTAGGACTTTGCAAAGACCCGCTTAAAGGCAGTTTATGGACTTTTACATCTCAGAGTGTTTTCAAGTACAAAATTGTACGAGAATCACGGTAAGTTTGGTCACAGAGGCAAGGGGAACCCTGCCCTCAGATGGTGACAGAGGGGATAAAGGTTCTGTATGTAGATCATTGTTATTGTAATACTTACTCAGGGTTAGGAATAAGTAAGTTAAATCTATCCTTATAGCTCTATCTTTGTTAAGTTCACATTTCAGGCTGAAGTGCTTTATGTATTAGTTTATTAAATCTTATTCTAAAGTTTTGTCTAATATTCTTTCACTATTAATATCAGATATTGAATTCTAGACAGATATTATTGTTTCCAGGAGTGCTCTGCAGGTCTGTTTCTTATTCTTAAAAATTTTGTTGATATACAATATATACTGTATATATGACATGATTTACTTCTGGTGGTTACCTGTTAAGCTTTGACATAAACTGAAATATTCTTGTGATAGAGTATTGTAATCACCAAACAAGAACATTTTATTATATCTGTAATGGTATATCTCATTCTTTTACTCCAGGGATGTATGGCAGATGTACCTTGATATGGGCAAGTTTGATCTTGCCAAGGATTACTGTCGGGTTGGTTTTATATTTCTGTACACTGTCCCCAACCTCATTCTTGTTAGGATGAGTAAGATGATAACGAGTTCTTCATGCTCTACCAAAATTTGTTTATCCATCTGTCCATCTTTCCATCCGTCCTATATATCTGGATCATAACTTTTCTCACAGTTAAACCAAGATCATGAAAATTTTTATACATTGGTCATATTAAGGTGATGTGCAGTGTACCAAATTTAATTACTCTTTGTTAAAATTGTATGCCAAATAAGGTCGTGTTCGGGGAGCATTTATCAGTTTCACTGATACTTTTGTATATACATATATGATCTTCATTGTCAAGTAATCATTTTTAAGTCATTACATTTACACAGTACTTTGTAAATGTTAGAATTTTCTGCAGTCACAAGCCTTTATCATTGCAACTTTCTTCCATTTCTCTTTATATCTATGAAAACAATTGATATTAATTATCCTTTACTTGTAGGACAACATGGCCCAGATGGACCGTGTACTTACCAAACAGGCAGAGTATTTGTTCACTAATGAGAGGTAGGTACAGGGTACATCTAGATTACTATCATGTCTAAAACCTGTCTAACCTGACTCTAGTCTGGATCTCTGTCTATTAGGATCTACGCATTTTCCTGCTTAAATTATGATAATGAATTTCTTGGCATTGGTGTAGTTTGTCTTTTTTAAAATTCCATTCATACATATCATTCTGGAAGCATCGTTTGCATTCTGGTACAAAATTTTTTTCACAAAGGACAAAATTGGTTGCAAAATTTTAGTGTAGATTTTGGTTGTTCAGGGGCAGTTCAGCTGTGATCCCTATCTCCTAGTAGTTGACAATAATTTACACAAATGTAATGTATTAAAGAATATGTTTTACATACTGTGAACACCTTGCACCGTAAACTCTCTCCAGTAAGAAGGACATCATTACCACTAATATACTTAGTACAAGTTTTATCTTATGTCATGGCGTAGCATCTAATGTGTTTGTCTGTCTGTTGTTACTCTGTCACCAGTATTTTATTCTAAAGGACTTCTTCTCAATAACCAAAAGGTTGAATTAACAATTTTTAGCTGGTAGTTTCCTGGGATGAAGCATAACAAAATTTGCAAGAAGAAATGACCTTGACTCATATTCATGGTCACAGGGGTCAGATTTTGTCAAAAGTTTCTGTAATTAACTGAAAGACCTCGAATAACAATGTTTTCTTTATAAGTTCCTGAGATGATGCTAAACAAAGTTTGCAAAACAAATTACTTTGAAACCATAGGTTAACTGTATAGAAGTAAATGTAACTCACCACCACTTCTGTATTTTCTAGGTATGAAGAAAGTGCTATGATGTATGCCCAGACACAAAACTCATTTGAGGAAATTGCTCTTCGATTCATCAAGCTTGACAAGAAAGATGCACTCAAGTCATTTATTCTGAAAAAATTGGAGTCCCTTAAACCACAGGTAAGGCTTGTTTGAACAAGGCTGATGCGACTTTTGTCCTGAGTTAAGATTGGTTTGAAGAATACTGATGCCGCTTTTAAGGTTTGGTTTGAAGAATGCTGATGGGGTTTTGGAAATATCTATTGATGCTAGACACTAATTTGGAAATAAAATCAGATGTGTTTCATCAAGTATGCATGTTTCTAACTATGACACATGAACATACGTGTATTTAAGAATGATTTTTGACTAATGTACCTGTTAAACAAGGGTATTTTGTACAAGCCTTAGGTATTGATCAGAATCCAAACTGATAACTGGTTTGTTATTTTACCGTGTTTGTTTGTTTCTTACAAGGACAAGACTCAGCTAACCATGTTGGTGACATGGCTGGTAGAGATTTACCTGAACCAACTTGGCGAACTGAAAGAGGCTGGTCGGGACCAAACAGCTGAATATGATGGCTTACAAGAACAGTTTCGAAAGTTCCTCAATGAAGTCAGAGTCAAGGTAATTATTTATTGTATGTCTGGTCAGGTATTTGCTCAATCAAATGAATAAAGATCTGGCTGTTAGATAAGCCTGATCTGTGTTATGGTGTGGTCAATAAAAGTGTTAATGGGAGATAACCCTGATCTGTGTCATGGTGTGGTAAATAAAAGTGTTAATGGGAGATAACCCTGATCTGTGTCATGGTGTGGTAAATAAAAGTGTTAATGGGAGATAACCTTGATCTGTGTCAAGCCGTGGTGAATAAAAGTGTTAATGGGAGATAACCCTGATCTGTGTCATGATGTGGTAAATAAAAGTGTTAATTAGAGATAACCCTGATCAGTGTCATGGTGTGGTGAATAAAAGTGTTAATGGGAGATAACCCTGATCTGTGTCAAGGTGTGGTAAATAAAAGTGTTAATGGGAGATAACCCTGGTCTGTTTCATGGTGTTTTAGATATAACGGGTAAGGGAGATAACCCTGATCTAGTAAATATAACTGTTAATGGGATATATCCCTGATTGGTGTCATGTTGTAGTAAATATTACTGTTCAAGGGAAATAACTCTTGTTTGTTTTACAGGAGTGTGTTAGTAATAACCGAGGTGTGGTGTATGATCTCATTGCTAGTCATGGTGATGTGGAGGATATGGTCTTCTTTGCCTTCCTAATGCAAGGTAAGTAAAATGTAAAATGTCTCTAATGAATATTCACTTCCTGGAATCTGTAACTGTTTAGCTCAAGTAAACATAATTGTGGACTAAGGTTACCAGTTAGAGAAACTGTTGAAGTAACCTTGAGCTAGGCTCACAAGTTAGAGTTATTGTGGCTAAGCTCACCAGTTAGAGTAACTCTGGGCTAAGCTTGCCAGTTAGAGTAACTGTGGGCTAAGCTCATGAGTTTGAGTAACTTTGGGTTAAGCTAACCGTTTAGAGTAACTTTTGAAATTGTATCAAATTTTACCATAAATTGGACTCAATTTTTCTTTTAATCCTAAGGGACTTTTAGCTGTAATTGTCATTGTCAAGGAAGACACTTCCTCTAAGACCCAGGGTTTTCCATAATTTTATTAGGAGTAGGCTGTGTAGTGAAATTAGGAGGCTGGCGAAGCTAGCCGACCCGAGCCGCTATGCGGCGAGGTGGGGGTGGCCTGCTGTGTACGTGTAGTTGTGTACGGAACATTATTACGGAACTGGATTGGTGTAGGCGGCCAAATGATCAAAGAAGCCGGTCAAATTGGCCGGCGACAGGCTCTTATGGAAAACCCTGAAGACCTGGTCTTATTCCTGAATTTTTTCTGTGGTCTCCATGTATATCTGACATGTTGTTATTTTCTTGTTTTCTTATCTAACCTTTCAGACTTTGAGAAAGTTATCACACACTACTTACAACATGATGAATACAGGAATGCTCTGAAAGTTCTTACAAAGCATGTAAGTCAAACCTGATTCTCTCACAGTAGTTTTGTTTATCAATCAGAAAACACCACAGGGACATAAACACCATGTAGAAAAGTTCTCTCATACCTTTATTTTACATTGTTTAACTCTAAAAATCATCTCTTCTCAGTGAGAAGAATCACTGACAGGTGTTCGTTACAATTAAATGACTGACTTGTTACTATTATTTACAGGATTTGTGACAGTAACTGATATGTATAACTGTATAGTTTCTAATTTTATTACACTATAGTCGCAATCAGTAGAAATAGTGCAAAATTAGAAAACAGCAAAATATTTCTACAGTGAGAAAATATCTCAGAAAATGTCTGTTATTCTCATGTAGTTTGACACCAGTTCATAGGTGTATGTGAAATTTTATACCCCAGCCTAATTAGGACAATTACAAAAAGTTAGTCCATACAAAATTAAAGTCCTATTCAATACTTATAGTATGAGTGAGAGTAACTGATTTGAGTACCACTGTTTATGGTGTTTGTGAGGAGTAACTGATTTGAGTACCAACATTTATGGTGTTAATGATGAGTAACTGATTTGAGTACCACTGTTTATGGTGTTAATGATGAGTAACTGATTTGAGTACCAATATTTATGGTGTTTGTGAGGAGTAACTGATTTGAGTACCAATATCTATGTTGTTTGTGAGGAGTAACTGATTTGAGTACCAATATTTATGGTGTTTGTGAGGAGTAACTGATTTGAGTACCAATATTTATGGTGTTTGTGAGGAGTAACTGACTTGAGTACCAATATTTATGGTGATTATGAGGCCTAACTGACTTGAGTACCATTGTCTATGGTGTTTGTGAGGAGTAACTGATTTGAGTACCAATATTTATGGTGATTATGAGGCCTAACTGACTTGAGTACCATTGTCTATGGTGTTTGTGAGGAGTAACTGATTTGAGTACCATTGTCTATGGTGTTTGTGAGGTGTAACAAACTTGTATCCCATTGTTTGCAGTGTTCAGCAGATGTTGACCTATTCTACAAGTTCTCTCCGCTGTTGATGCAGAACATTCCACAAGAGACAGTCACTGATTGGATCAAGCTGAAAAATAACCTGGAACCTCTGCGCCTTATTCCAGCTCTTGTACAATATGACCATAACAGATACAGACAACAGGTAGAGTTATCTCTGCTAACACTCAGGGCAATAACATGTACTCTTCAAGATGTGTAATTAAAACAACACATGAACAAGATGACTGCTAGTTCAGTTGTCTTTTCACACTTTCAGTAAGCTACAGTATCATCTTTTCACACTTTCAGTAAGCTACAGTATCATCTTTTCACACCTTCAGTAAGCTACAGTATTATCTTTTCACACATTCAGTAAGCTACAGTATTATCTTTTCACACCCTCAGTAAGTTACAATGTTGCCTTTGAACACCCTCAGTAAGTTACAATATTGCCTTTGAATGAACACCCTCAGTAAGTTACAATGTTGCCTTTTCACACCGTCAGTAAGTTAGAATGTTGTCTTTTCACACCCTCAGTAAGTTACAATGTTGCCTTTTCACACCCTCAGTAAGTTACAATGTAGCCTTCTCACACCCTCAGTAAGTTACAATGTTGCCTTTGAATGAACACCCTCAGTAAGTTACAATGTTGCCTTTTCACACCGTCAGTAAGTTAGAATGTTGTCTTTTCACACCTTCAGTAAGCTACAGTATTATCTTTTCACACCCTCAGTAAGTTACAATGTTGCCTTTGAATGAACACCCTCAGTAAGTTACAATGTAGCCTTTGAATGAACACCCTCAGTAAGTTACAATGTTGCCTTCTAACACCCTCAGTAAGTTACAATATTGCCTTTGAATGAACACCCACAGTAAGTTACAATGTTGCCTTTTCACACCCTCAGTAAGTTACAATGTTGTCTTTTCACACCCTCAGTAAGTTACAATGTTGCCTTTTCACACCCTCAGTAAGTTACAATGTTGTCTTTTAACACTCTCAGGGGAATGAGGCAATACGCTATTTGGAGTTCTGTATTCAAGATATGGAGAACACAGAGCAAGCTATCCACAACTATCTACTGTCACTGTATGCAAAACTACAACCTGACAAATTGATGACTTACCTACAGATGCAGGGTACGGTAAGTAATAAATTACTGCACTATGATGACTTACCAACAGATGTAGGGTTATGTAAATAATCATGGACCATCTTAGATACAAATGTAGCAGCTTGGAGTCAGAAAGTAAAAGGCTAGGCCACACTATGTTTGCTTGTTATATAAATAAAGAAACATTTCTAGTTTTATTCAGAAATGCATTTTTCAATACTGTGATCAATATTGACAGGACCCTGAAAGTATCTGCTATGACCTGAAGTATGCCCTGCGTTTGTGTGCTGAACATAAACACAAGAAGGCCTGTGTCCACATCTATTCCCTTATGGGACTGTATGAGGAGGCTGTTGACCTTGCCTTGGCGGTAAGCTTCTCTGATTACATCACCTTCTAATGTTGTAATACTGCTACCAAAAGCTGGGCTTTATTATTATGGGATGCCTGAAGCTTATATCTTGGCAAGTGGTTTTTTGTCTATCCATTCATCATCTGTCTGACCTCATCTTCTCCATTTAATCAACTTCTCAGTTGCCAAGAGACCCTTGGTGTGCCGGTAGCATGTTTGGATGAAGGGCTACCAAGTTACTTAAATTAATGACTTTGGCCCACTTTCAAGTTAAGAGGTGTCAAATGTGTTAAAATGTTAAAGAAATTCTTCTAAATAATAAAGAGGACCAAGGAACTGATATTGGTTATGTAGCATTGTAGGAGGGTTTGATATTGATTTCGTAACATGAAGGGCTGTCATGACTCAATGTCACAAAATCAGTGTGTTAATTTTTCTAAATAACTTTCCAATAACAAATGGAAAAAGGCTGAAGCCAATGATATTTGGCAAGTAGTGTGTCGAGATGAAGGGCTATGAAGTTTGTTCAAAGAAGTGACATTGTCCGATTTTCAAAGTGCAGGGGTTGAACATGTTTATAACCGCAAAGTTTTTTCCATTTTCCATTAGGCCCAGGGTAATGTTATTTGTGTGGTAGAATGCTTGGAAATTGAAACCAAACTTTGCTACACAGTCAATACAGTCCAATTCAACTTCTTTGAAGATATCCTTTTTTAGATTTTCAAATTAATGAATTTTTTAAACAGTCTTTAATTGTTTCTTACATTGGTAACATTCACTGGATTTGATTAAGAAGAATATGTCATGCTATTCACTTAATAAAAACCATGACATTCAACAAGTGTTAACTATTTTCTATAGGTTGATGTTGACTTAGCAAAGCACCAGGCAGACAAACCAGATGAAGATGATCTAGACCTCCGTAAGAAACTCTGGCTCAGAATAGGTTGGTACATTCCTTTGTTTAATTTAAACTACCGTATAGTCCTTTATTAACTTTAAGCTCATATACAGAATTATGGCCCCTTGTTCACTTTCAAAAACTGTATACAGAGTTATAGCCCTTTGTTTACTTTCAATAACTGTATATAGAGTTATAGCCCTTTGTTTACTTTCAATAACTGTATATAGAGTTATAGCCCTTTGTTTACTTTCAAGAACTGTACATAGAGTTATAGCCCTTTGTTTACTTTCAATAACTGTACATAGAGTTATAGCCCTTTGTTTACTTTCAATAACTGTATTTAGAGTTATAGCCCTTCATTTACTTTAACCTACTTTCTACAGAGTTATATCTTTTTGTTTACTAACAAGGTGATTGATTATCTCCCTTTACAGCCAGACATGTTGTTGAGGAAGAAAAAGATGTCAAGAGAGCAATGGAGTTTCTCCATGACTGTGACCTTCTCAAAATAGAAGACATCTTGCCTTTCTTTCCTGATTTTGTCACGATTGATCACTTTAAGGTGAGAGTGCTATTAATGAGGAAGATGTTGATTCATATGTATATATTACATAATATATTTAAAAAAAGGAAGACTTCATATTGAATCAAGGTACTGTAGTTAAGAGGACAAGAAGGAACATGTAGAGAGCGATTTGAAACTTGACAAGAAGTAAAAGAGTTTTGAAGAACCTGTCACTACCAAACCTTAACTCTTACAGTTGTCATATAAACCTTATTGGTCTTGGTCAAATGTGAAACCAAACTGTTATTTAGGCAACTGCGTGTGAGGAAATTAAGTTAAACTGTGGTAAAAGTTTCCCTGTATACATGATCTTGACAGGACGCCATCATCACGTCACTGAAGGAATACAACCAGCACATAGAGGCTCTCAAGGAAGAGATGGATGAAGCAACAGGAAGTGCTGAGGAAATCAGAAAAGAAATTCAAGGATTTCGCAACAAGTAAGAATGAATTCATTTGTAATGATGCTTTCTGCTCAAGCATTTTCAAGGTTCTACTTACAGTTGTAATATGCAGGTCATGTTCAGAGTTTTGGCCATTCAAATTTGAGAAATTTCATAGAAACTTTCATAAAAATGGTAAGTCCAATTTTCAGAACCTGCCTGAATTTAATGAGAATTAAAAAAAAAAAAACTTGCTGATAGAACTTTAGTCTATTTCATATTCTACTTATTAACCCTCCATTGGCAAATCGTGCTGTATCAATGGTCTTTGTATTTGAATTCCTTAAACAATTCATATCATCTATATTTCTTTACAAGTGGAGGATAGATCTTTCTCAAATTTGATATAAATGTTCCCGTTTGTCCCTAAGTGTGTCATTTTGATTTTAGGACCTAGAAAAAAATTTTTGATAGGCAACAATCCCTGATTTTGACTACGATGGTTTTCAATCACAGTTTCTGGAGTACTGAAATACTGAATGGATCTTTTCCAAAAACTTTAGGTTGTCAATATTTTTACTGTTTTTACAAACAGCTAAACCTTTCATATTGTCAGGATTGATTATCTGTTTTGATCTTACAGATTTGCCTTTGTGAAGTCAGTGGACAAATGTGCTGCCTGTGGTTTCCCTCTTATGACTCGTGGATTTTATCTGTTTCCATGTCAACACAAATTTCATTCTGACTGCTTAATAGGGGAGGTAAGTCTGTACATTCTGACTCCTTAATAGGGGAGGTAAATCTGTACATTCTGACTCCTTAATAGGGGAGGTAAGTCTGTACATTCTGACTCCTTAACAGGAGAGGTAAGTCATTACATTCTGACTGCTTAATTAAGGAGGTAAATCTGTACATTATTACTGCTTAAAAGGTGAATATGTCTATTCTTTATCATCTTGTACACTACAATCTGATGAAGGTGACCATGTAGTCATCAAAGTGTTATTATAAATCTTATACTGGTTGTGTAATAAGAACTTCTATTCTGTAGATAACTAAGTTTGTTGATTACGACAGCATACCAGGGGAGATAAATCTGTTTATTACAAGTAATCATATTTCATTCTATTGTTTGTCAGGTTGTACCCAATTTATCAAGCAAAAAACGATCACGTGTGGAAGATCTACAGAGGAAGTTGGCTGAACATGAGGACATAGGACCCCATAGTATGTCTAGTCGTCAAGGTCAAGGTCCAAACCTTAAAATAATGGAGATCAAGGTAAGGATGTTACCCTGTAGAGTGTAGTATCCCCTGTCAGTTATATATCAAAAACTCATTATCACATGGGTGCAATGATAGGAAATGTCAATTCACCAAGGTTACAGGGACATTGAAAGGTCAATATCACCAGGGTAACAATAACATTGAATAGTCAAGTCACCAAGGTTACAGGGCCATTGAATAGTCAAGTCACCAAGGTTACAGGGACATTGAATAGTAAAGTCACCAAGGTTACAGGGCCATTGAATAGTCAAGTCACCAAGGTTACAGGGCCATCGAATAGTCAAGTCACCAAGGTTACAGGGCCATCGAATAGTCAAGTCACCAAGGTTACAGGGCCATTGAATAGTCAAGTCACCAAGGTTACAGGGCCATTGAATAGTCAAGTCACCAAGGTTACAGGGCCATTGAGTGGTCAAGTTACCGAGGTTACAGGGACATGGAAAGTTTGAATCACCAAGGTTAAAGGGTTAAAGGGACATTGAAAGGTTGAATCACCAAGAGTACAGGGACATTGAAAGTTCAATATCACCAGGGTAACAATGACATTGAATAGTCAAGTCACCAAGGTTACAGGGCCATTGAATAGTCAAGTCACCAAGGTTACAGGGCCATTGAATAGTCAAGTCACCAAGGTTACAGGGCAATCGAATAGTCAAGTCACCAAGGTTACAGGGCCATCAAATAGTCAAGTCACCAAGGTTACAGGGCCATCGAATAGTCAAGTCACCAAGGTTACAGGGCCATCAAATAGTCAAGTCACCAAGGTTACAGGGCCATCGAATAGTCAAGTCACCAAGGTTACAGGGCCACTGAATAGTCAAGTCACCAAGGTTACAGGGCCATTGAATGGTCAAGTTACCAAGTTACAGGGACATAGAAAGTTTGAATCACCAAGGTTAAAGGGTTAAAGGGACATTGAAAGGTTGAATCACCAAGGTTACAAGGACATTGAATAGTTAATCTACCAAGGTTACAGGGCCATTGAATAGTTAATCTACCAAGGTTACAAGGACATTGAATAGTTAATCTACCAAGGTTACAGGGACATTGAATAGTTAATCTACCAAGGTTACAGGGACATTGAATAGTTAATCTACCAAGGTTACAGGGACATTGAATAGTTAATCTACCAAGGTTACAGGGACATTGAATAGTCAAGTCACCAAGGTTACAAGGACATTGAATAGTTAATCTACCAAGGTTACAGGGACATTGAATAGTCAAGTCACCAAGGTTACAAGAACATTGAATAGTTAATCTACCAAGGTTACAGGGACATTGAATAGTTAATCTACCAAGGTTACAGGGACATTGAATAGTTAATCTACCAAGGTTACAGGGACATGGAATAGTCAAGTCACCGAAGTTACAGTGATATTAATTTGTCAAGTCATCGAGGCCACATTCATGACCTTAAAGAGAAGGGAATCAATATTTGATTTTCAAATATCAAAATAGTATATATTTACCTGGTAAGTATAATTGGAATTTAGATCCAGAAGGAAGTGTGCACTCTTGTGTATGCTAATTGCTTGCAATCCAATTGTACATTCCTTACATAGTCGTGAATCAAATGTATGTAAACTGGTATTAATATAGAGAAAATTATAACCTCATGTGTTTTATTTTGTCCAGTCGGAGTTGGATGATTTGGTGGCTTCTGAGTGTATCTATTGTGGAGACATGATGGTCAGGTTTGTACATTATATACCATATATATATCAGGACTACATATGTAGCAGGTAGATATTGTGTAATGTAACCCTTTAACAATATTCTTTGGTGTGGAGTTAAACAGTTTTTAACAAAAATATATTGTGTAATCTTGAATTTCAAATTGAATATAACATTGTATTGTCTGTAGGTCTGTGGAGAAATTATTTATAGAGGAGGACGAAGAGGAACTCGCAAACAATGGATGGTTATAACTTTGGCAAACAATGGATGGTTATAACTTTGGCAAGCTACAGTTGGCTAAAACCTTGGCTAGCGATGGATTGTTATAACTTCAGATAGCAAGGGATGACTATATCTTTGGCTAGCAAGAGATGGCTTAACATGTGAATAGTAATGGATGGCTAAACCTTTGACCAGCAGTAGATGGTTAAAACTTTGACTGACACAAGATAGCTATATATTTGGCTAAGATAGCTATATATTTGGCTAGCATGGGATGGTTAAAACTTTAAAAAGGGATGGTCATAAGCATATGTCAAACAGTAATAACATTAGCGCTGTAGTGCTATTTTTGCGACGGTAGAGTGAAGAGTGTACCCAGATATAAAGGGTAGTGCTTGGAAGGATTTTATGTCTGGATCATAAAGCTGTCATTTGTTTTGGTGAGAAAGGGATAGATTGAATTAAAAGTGTGTGGAAGTGTGTTTTTTAGAAGTTTAGAAGTTTTTGTAGTCAATTTCCAAGGAGATTTCAGACATTCACCTATTCCAGCCTCAAAGGATTCATATTTCATTTTGTTATTTTTGGTAGAGAAAGCAATGTCCGTGTGTATCTGAATATTCCTGCTTGAAAGAGAAATCATGAAAATTGTCAATTACAACAAAATGTGAAGATGTAATATATTGCTGTTTATGTGATTTAATGTGCAATAGTAATATCATAATTATTTATTTCATAATTAAACATAAAATATAACAGTAGATATTGGATGTTTTTGATTTTTCCTCCTAGCACAATTTGATAGCTATACAGACTATATACATCTCAAACAACATTGTCTGATACACCACATTTGTCCAAAGCAGCCTCATGAAGACACCTGTCACAACTAGCACTTTCCTACATAGACACCTGTCATGACCCACATCCTTCTGTAAACCCATCTTATAACATACCTACATAGACACCTGTCATGACCCACATCCTTTCTGTAGACCCATCTTATAACATACCTACATAGACACCTGTCATGACCCACATCCTTCTGTAAACCCATCTTATAACATACCTACATAGACACCTGTCATGACCCACATCGTTTCTGTAGACCCATCATAACTAACACATCAGTACATAGACACCTGTCATGACCCACATCCTTTCTGTAGACCCATCATAACTTACACATACCTACATATACACCTGTCATGACCTACAATATTTCAACATTTTGTTGCCATGTCAGACTTACATGGTACTTTTAAATCACATACAGCTAAATGTGACGTATTGATTATAATGATGTCAGATTCACCTGTCTTTCCAATGTGTTACCTGCAAGAGCGGTAATTATGTCAATTAGAAGACTATGTAAAAAAAACTTGTCTTGGTCAACATGTTGACCCCTGTCTTAACCAATACTATCTATATTGACACCTGTCTAACTAAACACTACCACACCACATGAATATTGTCAAATGTAGATACCTGACTTTCTGAGCATTACCTCATGTAGATATCTGTCTTACTCAACATTCACTTGACTTACTCAACTCTAAATGTAGACATGGCTTACCCAAAACTATCTGTGGACACCAATGACACTTTCACATGATGACACGTCTTCCTCAGTACTATACATGTAGACACGTCTTACTCAGAATTATACATGTAGACACTTGTCTTACTAAGTACTCTACATGTAGACACTTGTCTTAACACTATCATGCATAGATACATGTCTTACTCAGTATTATACATGTAGACACGTCTTACTAAGTACTCTACATGTAGACACATGTCGTAACGCTATCACACATAGATACATGTCTTACTCAGTATTATAAATGTAGACACCTCTTACTCAGTACTAAACATATAGACACGTCTTAACACTCTCACATGTAGACACCTGTCTTATTCCTTACTATACATGCAGACACATGTCTTAATTATCACTATCACATGTAGACACATGCCTTACTCAACTCTATGTAAACACCTTTCTAAGTCAACACTGTGTAAACAGGTGTCTTACTCACCACTCATTGTAACAGATGTCTTGCTCAACAATCTGTGTAAACACGTGTCATACTCAACATTATCTTGCTCATGTTAACAGATGTTTGACTTTCTCAACAATACCATCTAATAGAAACCTGTTTTATCAGACACATCCAGATCTAGACTCAACACATGAAGACACCTGTTTTATTCATCATTTTTATATGTGAATATCTGTCTTACTAAACACTATCATTTGTACACATTTGTTTAAAACAAAAAAGAAAAAGCGAAAAAGTGAAAACAATCAGTTTATTGGAGAATTACACAGTGTTACTTATTACAACATACATGAACAATAACTTGTAATGTTTACAGTAAACAAGGACAACAAAAGTTATATATAAAGTATAAAAAAATGGACAACAGAAATATTGTTAAAAACCACTACAGTTGTATAATTTGTAGCAGAAACAAGTAAAAAGGTAAAAAGTGTACAAAGTTACATAGTTGATGCATAAACAAATATCTACAGAGACTGGAGCATTGTTTTTCCAGGGAATAATACTTTGGTCCCTTTCCTGTTTACATTCACAGTCTTAATGTCAGAAAACAAAGTGTTCATAATTCATGGATATTTGCTCCAGCCAGTGCTCTCTGGCTCACTAGAGGCAAGGCAGTAGGATCTGAACATCAAAAAACTTTCAATAATTATAAATTCATATTTAAAATAACATCAAAATTATGATTACAATAATAAAATACATGACTTATTTGATTTAAATGCTGAAATTGTTCAAAAGTCTAAAACAACCACAAAAAGCATGATTGTTTTCATTCCTCAATATTAACACTCAGCCTTGTCAACAATTTAATTCAGTTATATGTACCGTTGTGCTGAACTGGATTTAACTAAAAGTCAGAAATCCTTCATTGTTGAGTTTATCACAATTGCATGAATTTAATGTTATTCTGTCTTTTGAGTCTGGTGTACAGGTTCATTAATAAGTCTGTGCCTGTAATAAACTTTTAAAGAATTACTTTATGCAAACCAGTTGGAGTGTACATCTCTAGATCAACTTACTACTTCTATCAACTGAAAGCTTGCACATCTATTTCACATAATTATAAACTAACTGCAAGTATCAACTGATTGTACATATTATAGGGTATATTCATGTCACTAGTGGAGTAACCCTGTAACTAAGGTGAGTAATCCTGTAACTAAGGTGAGTAATCCTGTAATTAAGGGGAGTAATCATGTCACTCCAGGGAGTAGTCCGGTCACTACGGGGAGTAATCATGTCACAAAGGGGAGTAATCGTGTCACTATGGGGAGTAATCGTGTCACTCCATGGAGTAATCATTTCACAAAGGGGAGTAATCGTGTCACTATGGGTAATAATCGTGTCACTCCAGGGAGTAGTCAGGTCACTACGGGAGTAATTATGTCACAAAGGGGAGTAATCGTGTCACTATGGGGAGTAATCATGTCACTCCAGGGAGTAGTCAGGTCACTAAGGGGAGTAATCGTGTCACTATGGGGAATAATCGTGTCACTCCAGGGAGTAGTCAGGTCAATACGGGGAGTAATCATGTCACAAAGGGGAGTAATCATGTCACTCCATGGAGTAGTCAGGTCACTAAGGGGAGTAATTGTGTCACTATGGGGAATAATCATGTCACTCAAGGGAGTAGTCAGGTCACTACATGGAGTAATCATGTCACAAAGGGGAGTAATCGTGTCACTATGGGGAGTAATCATGTCACTCCATGGAGTAGTCAGGACACTACGGGGAGTAATCATGTAACAAAGGGGAGTAATCGTGTCACTCCATGGAGTAGTCATGTCACTCCAGGGAGTAGTCGGGTCACTACGGGGAGTAATCATGTCACAAAGGGGAGTAATCGTGTCACTATGGGGAATAATCATGTCACTTAAGGGGGTTATCAATTCACTCCAGGAGTAATCAGGTCATTTAGGGGAGTAATCATGTCACAAGAGTGTGTTTTATTGTAATGACAAGGCTGCAAATTGAGATCTTTTTATTATTGTAAAAAGGAAATGAAGTTATTGTTGTCCATGATACTGGGAATAATAAGACTCTAGTGGTCTACAACATTTTGGCGCCATAAAGGGTGATTATACAACATTCAGGGCTCTGTGGAGGGAAATTTACAACATTTGGGGCTACATTGAGGGTAATTCTAAGATTGCCACACCTATATGTCTATAACTAAGGTGATTATTGTTTCATACCATGACAGAAGTTTTTGCTGATCTGTTTAATGTATTGAAATGGGACTATAAATAATATGAGAGTAATAAATATGGTGTATCACAACCAACACTTGATATGATATATCTAACCAGGTTTATGATGATAATAAAATGCTGAATTTGACAAACAAAATAGATACTGGACACTATTCTCTACAGGAATGTTCATAACTGTGAAAGCTTTGATCTAAAAATGTATGATTAGTTGAAATTTATTGATTTTGCAAAACATTAATTTTTGTCACACTTGAAAAAGCTGAAACAATATGAAACTATTCAGGGAAATTTTTCTATGGATTAAATGAACTATTAGTCTATAAGAATTAAGAACATAAATATGTATGGATTATGAAGATTATCCATCCTTAGTTCCCCTGAGATACATCTGAAGATCAAACTAGACTTTAAACTGATGAAAAGGAAAGTATGAAGTATAAAAAAAAGCTGATAAAAAAGAAATAGAACTCAGAATATACTTACAAGTTGGGTTCAAACAGAAACATCTGGTTAAACAGACTTTCATTCAGCTCTCCCAGTCAAACTGATTGATTTCTTTGACATAGATTTAAAGGTCAAATAATTTTTGTTTAAGGAAAGGGGCATGCTTACAAACATTGACACTTCAAAGCTGAACAAACAGCCTGCAATAGTATTCTCCTTAAAAAAACTTCTGCTTTACTGAAAACCTGCAAAGTCACTACCCTGCATATTCTCTTTATTAAAGGACTGGGTTAACACCATTGATAGCAAACAAATACTAATACCACTTCCATACTGTGAAATATTGATATCTAATCTAATAAAAAAATGAAATAAAAAGAGTATTTATGAAGATGCTGCAATGTTTATAATAGATACCAAAATGAGCATTTCCAAAGATTTTCTTAAGGTTCAATATGTCAATATAATAAAAGTTCTTATAACACAGCCTGTAGAGGGTTTGAGGGTGACGTTTCAATGACTACACGGTCTCCTTCATCTTATAACACAACCAGTAGAAGATTAGAGTGTGACGTTTCAATGACTACACAGTCACCTTCATCTTATAACACAACCAGTAGAAGATTAGAGTGCGATGTTTCAATGACTACACAGTCACCTTCATCTTATAACACAACCAGTAGAAGATTAGAGTGTGATGTTTCAATGACTACACAGTCACCTTCATCTTATAACACAACCAGTAGAAGATTAGAGTGCGATGTTTCAATGACTACACAGTCACCTTCATCTTATAACACAACCAGTAGAAGATTAGAGTGTGACACTTCAATTTGTCTGATGAAGGGGTATCATGAAGCCATTGTAACTTCACACTCAAATCTTTCACTGGTTGTGTTAAAAGAACTTCAATCTACCTAAATGAACTTTTTATTTCATTGTGGCAGACACATTTCTGCACCCAATAATACTCGATGATAAAACATTTTACATGATAAATGATATATTTTAATCTTCCTTTTAACATCTTGATTTTATCACTGAACATTTTGTATTGTATTCAGAATATTTATATAGTGGAGTAAGCCAATCAGTCACATAGTTATGTGCTGACCTTGTTTAATGTCACTTAACTTCAGAACATGGAAATGACATCTAATCCCAAAAAAGCTAGCTAATGGTAGAAGCAACAAAACTGACCATGAATCATCACATTATCTTAACACACTTGTATAAATGATATCTTTGATCAAATTTAACAATTATGCAGCAGACCACTAACTTTTTTAACACATCTTAGGAAAGTAAAGAATGCATTTAAACAAAACCAGGCCAATCTTCATCAGCTAGCTGCAAAACACATAATTCATGTACTTGTATTCCAGTATATGTTTTCTTTTTATCAATTATAATTTTCAAAGAAACATTTCAGTCATGAAGCTTTATTTGACACACTACCTTCCTCAAAAAAACAAAAAAAAAAAAAAAAAACCAAGACTATCATTCCTAAATCTTTGGTTCTAATTATTACATGCATTTGTCATCTTGAGATCTACAGTGTTTGAACCAAGACACAGTTTCTACACAGCAATTAATTTGTAACAGACACCTATCAAACCTTTTGGCATTACAATTCTACAGAAAAAAAATATTAGTGAAAAGTTAGTGTAAGATCTACACCTTGAAAGCAGAAGCTGCATTATTGCCTTATTGATAAACACAATATAAATTAAAAATAGTTTCTCAAACATAATATCAAGCAACATGGATATATAAAAAGTCATGGACAGGTGAAACAATAGAAAAACACAACAGTTTAATATACCCTGGTACCATTTAAATGGTTACTTGGCATTGGATTATTGTAAAAATTACAGTAGTACTCTAGTAAATACATTATATACTACTTCCTTATTCTATACTAGGCATCACTCAATATTTTATAACTTTAGAGAGACCACTGAGATACAGTAGAGACTAATATATAGATATATCATAAAGAAATACTTAAAAGTAATATCATATAATTACTGTTTACTTTTTATCATAAACCAATTACACCCTGAATTCACCTCTCAATATTGGTACGCTGTAAGTTTTGTTTGACTTTCTAAGAGAAAGAAATGAAGGATGACATTTGTCAAAAATGAAACAGAGGAAAAAAATAGTTCACTTAATGACTTGTGTGACAAATATACATTTCTTCTGCTTTGAGGTTTTGGCAGAACTGAAAATCTGAACCATCAAACAAAACAACATTTTATCTCTAAAACAGTTACAGATATCTGACTCTGTATGTATTTTCTAATAGTCCATTATTCGCGAATTTGAAGTCATTTCTAGATTTTCCTTTGCGAAATTATCTATTCCCGAATATGTCTGAAGAGATATTTTCATGAAATAATCTATTAGCGTAATCCAAGTGATTTACAGGACTTAAGCTATTTCATTTTAGCAACTAAGACATGGGAAAGCTGTTAACATTTCTCTCATATTCTATCAATAAATATAGTCCAAAGGTTTCAGAGTAATTGATAATGAGTCGTAGCTGTAAAAACATGTATGGCACTCTTTGTTTATACACTGGAATCCAGTCTGCAACACTTAAATGAAATTTAGTAATTTTAGGCTAATTACTAGAACGGACAAAACACTGAATGTCAATATCCTGATCTCCCAGGATTCCACTGAAGTGAGACAGATTTCATATGACATATTTCATATTGCATTTGTGTCCCTTCTTGACCAAAGCTAAGCCACTTCAATTGAACTTAAGGCAAGCATATTGGCACAACACACAGTAAAATTGTTTATTCTTAATATTTCAAATGTGAACACATCACTTTAAAAGCAGGCCATCCTTATTCAACAGTCAGCCATACAATATAAAGCTTTCCTAGGGATCACACCCTCTCAAAGCTTCAGTTGTTGTGACATATAGTGTATCACTGACACGTCTTCATGAACAAGTGCTGAGAGATCCTGCTTACAAAGGGGCACAACTCAAGCATCAGTATATGAGATATTTAGGATAATGTTTTCCATCACTGTAGAGAGTTGATATGGTCGTCTGTTATCTGGAACAGTGAGCAATGTTCACTGGTACGCCGACATATATCATGTGCAGTCTCTCCTACACGATTACGGATGCTGACGTCAATATTACAATTGGTTAGTAGTACCTCAAGTGTAGCACGACTGTCACGCTCTGATGAGGCCAAATGAAGGGCCGTCTGTCCCCCATTGGTCTGTGCATTGATAGGGGCTCCATGCTGTAGTAAGGTTGCGACTACTTCTGCCTGATTCCATCGGGATGCGCTATGTAGAGGCTGCCAACCATCTATAGTCCTGGCTTCAACATCTGCTTTCCGTGCCAACAGGAGCTAAAAGAGTGTTGCATAAAACATATCCAGTACTTTCTTCGCATAAAATTTCATCAAAAAATTTTCATGGCATTGCTGCAAGGATAGGAAAAATAATAGACAGATAGACAGACAATGCATTTACTACAAGTCACCTGCATTAGAAATTTGATGTGAAAAAATACCAACACATCCTTTTCCAAAGTATACTCACCCTAACAACAGCATCATGACCATTATAAGAGGCACGGTGAAGTGGGGTATAGTCATCACTATCTCGAGCATTCACCAGGTCTGGGTCCTCTGCTAACATTGTCTCCACTATTTCCCGCTCATTGTTTTCTGCCGCCCACAATATCCTGACTCTTGGGTTGTCTGCAAAGGAAATGATAACTTTAAAACCTCTACAACCTTATACAGAAAAAACTGTTGGATACTCAGTTCAAACAAAGCTCTGTTTGCCTGAGCTAGTCAACACCTGTATTTCTGGCTCATCATTGTTACAGAGTTAACACAGGTTTATATTTCATAAATTATGTCCGTAATTTTAGTTTATACCTGTATCACAGCTAACCACCTACTCCTATAACATAGGAGGCCACTGCTAAGCTGATTTATTGTCTGACATTATTGTGCTGATTGTTATTAGGTGCATAATTTTCTCAAAGTGAAAAGCTCTAACATTGTTGGAACATTGCAGGCAACAAATATAAAGCTACAAGGGTGATAGTAACTACAACCATATAGAAGTTCTAGCTACAGCCTCCAACAAACAAGAAATCTTGAAGGGATCTTGGTTTAAAACACTGACTGATCTTTGAAGTTGGATCTTTTCCCTTATATTCTCGTATTTGCTCTTAATCGGCGGCGCAGGATTTTTTTCCCAATCTTATAAAGTCCAGTTGTATTTCAATGATTATCAAACTACAAATGACCTTTAAAATCACCAATCAACATTCAATGCATCTATTTAGTAGTGAGTTTTCAATTAAGTTTTTAATCTGTAATGTTAATCATCCATTTTTAATAAAGCACACAAAAAGTGTGATCCTTTTGTACATGAGATGCTATATCGTGAGTGGGTGCACACAGTGTGGGGATGATAAATGTGTGATGTGTAAACCATTTATGCACTATGTTTGCATGAAGTTTTTGGTGCATTGCCTGATACCACAATTGTATGAAGTTTGAGAATTCCTCTCCAGAAATAGAATAATAATCTTTAATTGTCCAATAACAGATGATTGCCTGCCAGTTCTTTATTTTTCTGACAATCCCAAAATTAAAACAACAGAACAAGGGGTCAAAGAGTACAAATAGTGATAACAAACTACTACGTTTAATTTCAAAATCTAAGATGACTGAAAACTGAATGGGCACATTTACAGACAGAGAAGAACCTACAGATCCATCTAGTACTTGCCAAAAATGGTGATAACAAACTTTCAGAGTCATAATCTAAGATGGCTGCCTGTCAGCCATTTTGTTCTTCTGATCAGTCGCAAAATCAATAGGTACAAGTAGAGACCATGGGAATATGAAATTGAAATTTCAAAATGTTTCATCAACAACTCCTCAAGAAATGGTGATAACACATTATTACTTTCAAAAGCCAAGATGGCCTCCTGTCAGCCCTCGGCCTGTTTCTTTTTCTGATTAGTCCGAAAATGGGACAATACACAACAAGGGGTTGTTATATATGAAATTTGAAAAAGCTCCATCGGGTATTTTTTCTAGAAATAGCAATAACTATCTATTAGTGTCTAAATCCATGACGACCACCTGTCGGTCATATTGCTTTCGGATCAGCTCAAAAGTAGGACAATGAACAACAAGGGACCAAGGGAAACCTACATGTGAAATTTGAAAAAAGATTCATGTTGTACTTCTCAAGATATAGCGAGAACAAGTACTGTTAAAGGAAAGGCGGATGCAGGGCGATTTGAATAAACCACATCATCTGATGATGGGTTAAAATATCAACTCTCACTCTGTATCTCATCATTTGTGGCCTCATCTACACCCTCCTCATCCATCTCCCAGAAACTCTGAAACTGGTTTGGTGCTCCGTCCTTCGCTCTCATCACCTGAAAACAAAGGAAGACAAGAATTTAGTGAGGAAAATAAAACTGTTGTGAAAAAATGACCATGTAGACTAATTGTAATCATAGACTCAGATTAAAGATATGATTATAAATGCATCAATGACAGCAGAACTAAAAATAATCAACCAGCTGATTATGGACAATAAAATAAAAGACAGAAGCTAGTTGAGAAACACCGGTAAACTCAGGGTCCAAACAACGAATGTGTGTTCCTACATTTTAATGGACATAAATTAATTTCAAGGTTACATACAGCTTCCAGCACGTCTGCTGAACCCAGATTGAGCAGGGGTGGGTACTGTTGTTCCAGTTCTGTGTCATCGTACTCGTCATCTTCCATCGTTCGTTCGCTCGTTCGTTCGTGTGCTTTGTTTAAACTTCCGGTACAGGGAGATAACCCAAGTAATAAATGGATGCGCCCTTGTTAACAGCTAAATTGGTTCGACGGTGAACGGGGACAGATTTATTTAATCATTTACTTATTATTTTTTTTTTAATCAAAACAGTAATCTTTTATTTTCGAAATAAATACACCAACAAATCCCTTTGTCTTATTTTCCACAAAAGACGATTCACATTGATCACATATTTACTAAAAGATGGATAGCAGAAGAGTAACATAGCATTTTAAAACCCTAGTCTCCATGCCACACTGGTAAAATACTAGCAGAGGCATACATTCTACTCAGTAAGAGAGAGTTGATTTTTTGCTTGAACGTCAGACTAGTAAGCCAGGGATCCCTGGTTAAAATAGGAGTGGAGACATTGATATACATGTATATAGTGACATCTGCTACTTCAGTGTTCAATGAAATCCAGTGGGTTGTGGTATTTAGAGATTTGGGTTGAAATTTTGGAAATCTCAGGGGGAGTAGTGTAAAAGGAGGACTTACATGACCTCTGTCTCTCAGTTGGTAGGCAATGCTTCTGTGGTTCTGTTGGCAGAGCTGAGTATCACATATGGTTGGATTCCTGGTCAGGACACTGTTGCACAATAATTAATCCGACACATGGTATTTGAGTTCTGTTTTATATGACATTGTGGTTACAAAAGTTACTGGTTAAGTCCTTCCCCCATCTCCCGCTTAAGTCCCTTCTCGCCTTGGGTTGCGAGCTCTAGGCTCCAACTTCTCTCCCCAGCCACTACCCAACAACTCTCCCCTGCTCACCATCGTCTTAGTATTAATAATACCTAACACTTCCATTCTAGCCAAGCCCCAATTGGATGACAATAACCCAACCCTCGGAGAATATAATTATCAAGGCATGTGCGCTCTCAGGTGACCTTATCTTACCTGGTGGCAGGGATCTAGATGTACTTTCCAGTCCAGCACTCTATCTACTACAATCAGCGATCCCTCCCCAGCTATCTCGCTACTGTGGCTAGGCACCTGAGGCACACCTTAGGTATCTCAGGACTAACATACTGCCTGTCCATCACAGGTCTTTAAGCCTGGTCCGGTGCCTGACTTATGACACCTGTTGTTATTGCTCCCTGATATACCTTTTGTACTTTAATTTCTGACCCAAAATGTACTTTTACTATCCATTTTGTTACAACACTCAGCGGGAATGTGTATTTTTGCCTGTTCTTTATTACTAGACCAAGGTAGGGATTCGGGTATAATACTTCAAATTATTATTATAAACATTGCTGTAACCCTAGGAAACTCGAAAACAAGCTATGATATTCTGGAGAGGGCTAGTGGGAACTTCTTTTAAGTTCTATTATTTTAGAGTCAGACTAGTAAGTCAGAGATCCTGAATCCAAATTCTAGAAGAGGCATTGATATAAGTAATGACATCTGTTACAAGATGGTGAAGAAGAAATGCCATTTATGAACTTAATAAAAAAATTTCTGTCCTTGTCTTGTATTGAAGACGTTTTATTGGACTGATGTGGAATAATGGTTTCAGAGATAGAAATGTCATTAATAAACATTAAAAAAAACTGTTGTGTATTGAAATATGCACCAAAGCACTCAAAGCAGACAACAGTACCTCAGGGGCAACTGTAGCAAAACTTTATACGTCTTTAACAGCAAACATTCCAGATTGTCATGAATGATCTCTGATAATGAGTTATTACAACTGTGGACAAGACAGGACAATATTAGTTTTTTTCATCACACACAGCATCCATTGTTTCAGGACAGCACCATACTCCATCCTTGCATTTCTCAACTAGTAGTAGAACTTTTTGACCAGTAGCAGAACTTCTTGACCAGCTGTGGAACTTCTTGACCTGTTGAACTTCTAGACCTGCAGTACTTCTTGATCCAAAGTAGAACTCTCGACCAGTAGTAGAACTTTTTGACCAGTAGTAGAACACTTGACCAGTAGTAGAACTTCTCAACCAGTACTAGAACTTTTCGACCAGCAGAATTTCTTGATCTGCTGTAGAACTTCTCAATCAGTGGTAGAACTTCATGACCAGATGAATTTCTCGACCAGCAGAACTTCTTGACCCATAGTAAAACTTGCGACCAGTAGTAGAACTTCTCAACCAGTAGTAGAACTTCTTGACCAGTAGAAGAACTCTTGACCAGCTGTAGAATTTCTTGACCTGTTGAACTTCTAGACCAGCAGTACTTCTTGATCCATAATAGAACTTCGTGACCAGTGGAAGAACTTCTCGACCAGTAGTAGAACTTTTTGACCAGTAGTAGAACTTTTTGACTAGTAGTAGAACTTTTTGACTAGTAGTAGAACTTTTTGACTAGTAGTAGAACTTCTCGACCAGTAGTAGAACTTTTTGACCAGTAGTAGAACTTTTTGACTAGTAGTAGAACTTCTCGACCAGTAGTAGAACTTTTTGACCAGTAATAGAATCTGAACCAGTAGTAAAACTTCTTGACCAGTAGAATCTGTCCTGCAGATGATAACGACTGAACTTATCCTCATCCCTACTAAACATATGGCTATATCTGTGATGTTAAACTACCTATCTAATCACATTCCCACTGTGCTGCCATGAAGCCAACTAGGGCCTCGCTAGCTATCGTCAACAATGCACTAACAGAATGACTGCTGTAGTTTGTGCAATCAAATGAGCAGATTGCTTTCACCTAAAACATGGTTTGAGGCACGCTTGTATCGAGGGATGATGTGTGGTGAATTAGTCGTTTCCCCATCAATGGTATGTTTGTTCCTGTGGTAGCATTGTAATATACACTGTACTGAGCTTCTGTTGATTGTTGAACTTGTCAATAACCTAAAATAAAGGTTCATCATCACTCCTGATTCACCTCGGAGTAAAATTAATCTCATTTTTAATTCATTTGATGAACATTCGCCATGTTTAGACAGCATACCCTACCAGTATACTTCTGTGTTTAAAGTCACAGGGGTGAAATTCTCTATATGAACATGTTGAGAGGAAGTTATTCCAACCAGCCCGGAGATCAGTCCTGTGTTAGATGAAGACAAGCAGTCTCAGTTTTTTAAACAAAACATATTATATATTCAAACATCAAAAGCATCTAGCCCTATAAAACCCGACAAAAACAGTAAAACAATTGTTTTCATCATGTTTATTTTTAATATCAATGTATCATGACATGAAATATGCACTAGATATTGCATAAAGAATGACTTATCACACACATAGTAAATGGTCTGTTTCATTCTTATTAAATGTGAGATTTGAGAGTTGAGTATCACTTTTATCAATAATTCATACAAGTTACCTATGAGATCACTATGTGCATAGTGAAATGTAGCTTCAACAGTTACCTTTAGGGATTATCATGTCACAGGAGTTACCCTGAGGTTTATTTGTGGGATTATAAGATTAAAGGGGTTACCTGAGGTGTACCTAATCCAGTTACAAGAGTTACCAGAAATTTCCAGATAACTAGAGTTACCAGAGAGATTTCCAGATAACTAGAGTTACCAGAGAGATTTCCAAATAACAAGAGTCAAGAGATTTCCAGATTATCAATCTAACTGAAAAGTTACCTGAGGAATCATCTACAGCAGTTACCAGATTAATTAGATTAAAAGTGTTACACAAGAGATTTGCAGATAACTGGAGTTGCCTGAGAGATTTGCAGATAACAGGAGTTGCCTGAGAGATTTACAGATAACAGGAGTTGCCTGAGAGATTTCCAGATAACAGGAGTTTCACAAGAGATTTGCAGATCACAGGAGTTGCCTGAGGGAGGATCAGGAAACAAGAATTACTTGAGAGCCTGCCATATTCCATCTGCAAATGACTGAGTCAACACTACTGTTCTATAACTGTCTCAATCTCTCTTTTTCCTGGACTGAGTCAACATATCTATCTGGTGACTGACTCCACACAACTGACTCATTACTGACTCAATCTCTTTCTTATGACAGAGTCAACATCTCTGTCAAGTGACCAAGTCAATATCTCTGTCCAGTGTTTGCACCAACACCCTTCCATATTTGAGTCACCATTTCTGCTTTGTGACTGAATCAACAAATCTGTCCTGTGACTCTATTAATCAGTCATGAGATGGCAGTGTTGACTCAGTCATTGTTGGTGAAGTTGACTCAGTCACTAGACAGAGCTGTAGACTCTTTCACAAAAAAAGTCATTCATGAACTTAATCACATTGGATCCTGATGACCTTGAGAGGTCAAGGTCATTCTGTCTTGATAATAGTTTGTAGAACAATACCAGCAAAAATATCATAAAGAAGCATCTTAATTACTCAACAGAAGTCCTCAAAAGATTTTATCATATTTTACCTCTTTGAACTTAAAGATATGTAAAGGTAATTCTCTTGCAAAAACTGAGAGCCTTTCATCCCAGCATACTCCTGGTCCTAGCCAATATTTAGAAGTTGATTAACGTTTTTAATATATTTTACCCTGCTGACACTGAAAGTGGGTCATCTTTTTCAAAAATCCAGACAGCCTTTAATCTCAGAATGCAGCTGTTCAAATAAGCTGACCCTAGGCCTGGTAATTCAGAAGAAGGTGTTGAAAGGAAAGAGTTGATGCCAAATAGACAGACAATAGACAGCATGCATCAGTTCACCAACTCTCCAGGCTAATGAGCTAATATATCTGACATTGAATGCATCATGTATCTCCGATAGTGAGGAATGCTGTGCTCTATTTGACTTTCATAGCATTTTGAAAGGTAATGTAATATAGAAGACAACATTTATTTAAAAAAAAATTGAAAATGTTAACAGATTTTATGAGTTAAGTAAACAAATTGATTTCTGAATATCTCTAACAACGGATTCTATAGTTACACTACAGTATATAAGTCCTGACCACTCTCACTACCAGTAACTCAAGTGAGTCAATTTCTTAATAAGTATCTCTAATAACAGACTCTGTAGTTACACTACAGTATATAAGTCCTGACCACGCACACTACCAGTTACACAAGTGAGTCAATTTCTGAGTAAGTATCTCTAACAACAGACTCTATAGTTACACTACAAGCCCTGACCAATCACACTACCAGTAACACAAGTGAGTCAATTTCTGAGTAAGTGTCTCTAACAACAGACTCTATGGTTACACTTTAAGTCCTAATCACACACACACAAGTAGTAACACAAATGAGTCAATGACTGATTCAGCATGTCTCATATCAGACTAAATTCAGATTCAATAGTTACAGTAGTAACACTAATGAGTCATGTCTGAGTCATCATCTCTCACATCAGACTCAATAGTAACACTTCAAACCCTGACCACTCACACCAGTAGTAACACTGATGAGTCAATGTCTGAGTCATCATCTCTCACATAAGACTCAATACTTACTCTTCAAATCCTGACCACTCATACTAGTAGTAACACTAATGAGTCAATGTCCGAGTTATCATCTCTCACATCAGGCTAAATAGCTACACTACTATACATAAACCCTAAATGCTTAAGTGTGCTTTTCACATATGTTGTATATAGTCCTGAAGAAGAACACCACTCAGACTCACTCAAAAATGACGTCAGCACAAATGTGAGAATGAAATGAACTCTAGATTGACCATTGCAAAGTATTAGGAAAAGAATATATTTTCATAGGACTAAAATTTCATGTTTTGAAATTACCCACTGTTTTGCTGGCACTGGAAAGAAAAAACTTAGGATAGCCACTTGTACTAAACAATTAACGTCAATTCTTAACTTTGTATCATTTCCTGGACAAATTAATTTGTAGATTAAGAGTTTATAACACTATATAAAGAACTCCTCAAAATTTAAAAGTTCAAAGTTTGTAAAAGAAAGTATACTTTTCCAAGATGGTCTCTAAACACTATACAGTTATACTTTTAATAAAACAAAATAACATCACCTTCTATTTAAATTATGAACATTCATTTATATACCGATCAATTCATTCTGAAAATATAGAAAAAAAATTACTTTATTTCACATCTTGAACACAAATGTATAATATCAAAAAGTAAACTGAACATCGCATTCTCATTAAACATATGTTATAACATTCTAATTATAATTTTTCCTCATTTTTTTAACTTAGTGTTTGTTTTACACATTTCAACAAACAGTTACTTCAATATTAAATACTCTTAAACAGCATTCTGTTATAATGAGTATGCTATTTGCTCTATTTGTTTTATTGAGACTGAAGTTTTCAATGAAATGAAATCACCACGAAACTCTGATTTACACTTGAGGGTGTAAACCCTGAGTTACACTTGTGGGTGTAAACTCTGATATACACTTGGGTGTAAACTCTGATTTACACTTGGGGGTGTATCCCACGACAAATACAATATCTGAGTTTGATAAAAAAAGAGAATTTTCCACTTAACACATTTTTCATATAATTTCACATTTATTTAAATTTCAGCTTTAAACAATCATAAACTCCTTGTAGTCCTGTAATACAATATGTTACCTTTCACAGAATATCAGATGTAGTTGATGGTGTGTAGACAAATGGATAAACTAAAAACAAACAACAGGTTCACGACCTGACCCAGAATATATACACATTGTCTTGGTAATCTGATTGCAGTGATATTTTACTCTACAATGATACAGTATGTAAAGGTTCTAACAGATGGTCATAACAACACAAATCACAGTGGAATTATACTGCTTTGCAGTGAACTTAAAAAATCCATTACATTCTGATGTAACTAAACAGATGTAGTATAAAAAAATCATAAAAAACTTTTATAAAAGTACAATATGATATAGAAATACTGATACAAGATTCCCCCTGGTGTCATTCTGGAAATCAGTAATAACATCAACCCAGCCAAGCAGAAATCTGTTTTAATATAACACCACAAAACACAATGGTTCAGCACTCACAAAGTCAAAGCACTTCATAGAAATTATCAAAATACAGTTAGATGATAATCATTGCTTCTTTATAATTGGATGTAGTTAAGTTTCCCATTTCTGGTATGAATGCAAGGTAGACATGGTGCTAATGTGCAACTAAAGTCAACAGCAGCCATTACAGAAAATCTATCTTATTGGCAATTTTTTTCAGCATTTTATTTTAACAATGTCAATATCTAGCTTTAAACATAATGAATCTAACACAGTCTATGTTCACTTAAAAATTAGAAATATAACTGTTGGAAAAAATTTAATAAAATCATACTTTTTACCAGAAAAAAGTGACAACGCTCCACACCAGTATTACTATGAGGTATCATGAATGATCCAAGAATTAGTGTAGCAGTGTTCAATGAATCTAATAAATGATCCCAAAAGCAGTGTAACACGGAATGATGAAAATAATGAATGCTCCCTCAAGCAGTGAAGCTGGGAATGACAAGAATAATGAACGCTCCTTCATGTAGTGTAACTGGAAATGACAAGAATAATGAATGATCCCTCAAGCAGTGTAACTGGAAATGACAAGAATAATGAATGTTCCCTCATGTAGTGCAACTGGGATTGACAAATATAATGAATGATCCCTCAATGTAACAAGGACCAGCAAAAATTTTGATTATTTTATAGCAGTTTGCTAGAAGGGCAAATAGCAGCCGCCATCAGAATAGCTGACAGGAATAATGAAACAATTGATGGCACTAGTATTACATAATGAGTGGAGTAATGAATGGTCCCTTGTGGAACTAAGAGGGATTGAGAATCCTTCTGACCCCTGACACATTATCCTCGATGTAACAAATGTCAATACTTCTATGTCTCTGTTTCTACATGACTAGGACTCAGACCTTTGGGATCCCTGCCTTACATGTACTACTATAGTTTAATGCTTTACCAAGTAACCTTTCCCTCCACTGTGTCAGTAAAGGAATCTAAGTACTTAACCAGGGTGATATCATCATTGTGTAATGGTGAGTAAATAATGTATCACCCAGACTTTAAAAATCTAAATGAATGTTTTACAGATTTGAGCTAAGCCCAAGATAAAAATCCAGTCTAATCCACAACAACATCCTAGGGATACTTATGAGTGTACTTCACTTATCAACATAAATTTATGATATGGATTTAATGGAGGCCAAGAAAAAGGTCCTTGATTGCTACATCTGGCGGAACTTGACTGAATTACACATCAACAACACTCAAAGTATTGTCATATCAATCATTCAAACTAAAAAAAATGTTTAGTGCAGATTAAAACAAAAATATAACATGAAATTGTATACCATGACCTCCTGTTTATAATATCTACTGATGGATACTCACATCTACATATCAAGAAAGAAAACATCCAGACAAATAAATTAAGTAGGTCAAGTATACAGCTATACAAACAAGTCTTGTATATCAGTTCTTACACCAGACATTCAACAATCATCAACTTATGTGTAAACCTGTTGGTAGTAGATGTTACATTACACACCTGACAATAAGTAACAATTGTTACATTATGTTCCTGTAAATAAGTAACAATTGTTACACTTGTGATCCATTCTGTCACAGCTCTTACACCAGACATTCAACAATCAGCAACTAATATGTAAACCTGTTGGTTGTAGGTGTCACATTACACACATAACAATAAGTAACAAATGTTACATTATAATCCTGACAATAAGTAACAAATGCTACATTATAATCCTGACAATAAGTAACAAATGTTACATTTTAATCCTGACAATAAGTAACAAATGCTACATTATAATCCTGACAATAAGTAACAAATGTTACATTATAATCCTGTATAACAATTGTTACACTTTGTGATACATTAAGTCACAGCTCTTACATCATACATATTATATGGCTACACCATTAAGGAATGATGACAACACTGTTTATCCAACATTATATAATGATTGCTGTAGTATTACAACAGACACGTTTTCAACGACACAAACATCTCTCCATAGAGACATCTTCCTTATCAGGAGACAAGGTGATGCCCAGCATTGCACATTTAAGTTCTAACATCTCAGGATTCAATGACTGGTCTTGTACAAGTAGATGCCAGCACTGAGGGCAACACCCAGCATAAACACAGACATCACCTGTTTACCTGGTGTTCCAAAGTATTCCACAATGGCCTCCTGAAAAATTGCAATGTTTAATGTCTTTTGTGTCAAAACATACAATAATTATTCTCATAGTTATACCATCTTTCATCTTTCATTTAATAATTTAGCTGTCACTCTGGCACTATTTGAAGGAAGGTAAGCAAAAGAAAAACAATGACCAATATTATTTACAAATGCCAAATAATGATGTTCAAAATAGGTCAAGGCTTCTACCAGCAAACTTGACAGCAAGTAAGCTTACAGGCATAGCATCATTATCCAAGACCTAACTGCACCTAAGGATCTACTTTGCTCAAGGACATTCCAAGTTTGTTAGTGTCAATGAAATAGGTCTATGTCATTAATCTGTGGAATTAGGTTTATCAAAAAACCATTCTACTGATGCACTTTTGACGTAAGTGATTTATTTCAAAAACTCAACATAAGTTAACTTATTGCAATCATTTCCCCAACATCACCGGCTCTAATTTATCTACTATCAAAATCATCCTTGATACTCCATGGGTTACGATCACTTTTACTCTCTGTACCCTTGAAGTATGTATTGGCAAAATTGAAGGCACAAGTGAAGTAATTTTATTGGTTCCAGGAGAAAAAAACTGACCAATCACAGACTGATACACTCCCTTTGAGGATTATCAAGGAGTGACACTCAACTTTGAAGCCATTATGATATAGTGTTATGTGACCTCGAGATTTATTGAAAGTACATCTTTTCATCTTGTCTACAAGGTGTTGCATATGGAACCTTCAATTTTGTCATGAAATATTCCTGGAGTGCAGACAGCGAGGATGTAGACCCCAAAAGTTATTTGAGAACATTTCTATATCAACATACAACATTGTTTACAGTGATATGGTACTTTACTTACCCATCCTCCCCTCTCAATGATCCATGGAGCAACATTATCGATTATAAAATTCACTACCCAATTCACAATGGCTCGTATCAGGGCTATTTTATCTAAAGCCTGAAAGCAAAATAAATTAAGAAAGTCAACATTTTCCAAACATAGTAAAGTTTACAAACTACATCAGCTCATCATTAACTTTGCTGAACTACCGTGATATCACCGCTGAGTAAAGGACTTCATTACGAGTGAGCATAATTGGTGTAAAATCTTATAGGTTATAAGCATGGTCACATCTTTGTATTTCTAAGCAATGTTATGACAAACAATCTTGTTTAGGAGAAAATATAAATGAAAAATTGTTTATGTATTTCTACCAATATGCCATAAAAAGGTAGGTTGATAGTGAAATCTTTTTATTTTTAGATATGATATTAAGGTGTAATCTTGACTTAAATATAGTCCTTCTCTGGGTACTGTAAGAAAAAAAGCTTTAGGACAAACTAAAAAATAGAGTCAGCAGTGTTGGCAGATATACAAGAAAGCTTTTAGGCCTAATGTACTTTGACAGGTAGTTCTATTTACCCAGTATTCATGAAAAACCCTCAAAACAAAGGAGACAGCCATTCTTGTAGTAGTTATATTGTATCTGTGAAAATTGTCAAAAAGAAGTACTTCGATCATTTTATAATGTGGAATTATAATTGTCTATATAAAGTTGTTGTTAAATAGTAGCTGGATAAAAGAAGATCCCATACCTTTAAAGCCATTCTGTAAGCAAAATAGAAGAGTGATCCTACGCGGCCCCAGTTGTAGATACCGTCAGAGAAGAAACTCTTGGCAACATTAAGGAACGTGTTGTGTGGGGCATCAGGCGGAACTCTGGCACACAGACTAAAACAAACCCAAATACTTCATAAAAAAAATTCAGAAAATTTCATTAATGATATTTGAAAAAATCTAGATAGTACTTTCAGTCTGGTAACAAATCTTATCATTGTTCAAGGCTAGTTTTGGAAAAAAAACTTTGAAAGAAGGTAAATGCCGAAAGTAAAGAACCATCAAAATAAAGCTGTGTACAAATGCAGACAAACAACAGCTACTATGATTTTTATAGTTTTATCTACAATTTCAGCTTACTTTTGTATATTTTCATTGCGGTCTAGCTCATCTCCAATACAGCGAAGAGCTCGACCAATCTCACGTATGTGTTCCATTGGAGGCCCTGTGAAAGAACAAGTATCAGCAATTTCACCACAATATGTACTCAAGTCTCGTTCCATTCTTCATATTTTAAATCAACAAAAACCATTATGTTATTGATCAGTGAGCACCTCACAAACATAAGGTAAACGGTTATTATCAAAAACATGCAATGAAGCACTAGTGCTTTGACCAATCATAGCAATGCTTTGACCATACATAGCAGTGCTTTGACCAATCATAGCAATGCTTTGACCATACATAGCAGTGCTTTCTGATCACTGCATTGAAATTTGCAGATAATCCTATTTGGATTAGTATATTTCCTATAAGAAAATGTAATAAAAAGAATATTCCATAATTTCTTGTTAAATAGCATATATATTTCATTTGTTTGAAAGAATATATCTACCAGCTATATTCTCCCATATACTTGTGGAATATACATGCATCCTCTGTGTCAAGACTATGATTTGGTTAATAATTACAAACATTATTCATTATTTCTTCATAAAGAGAATTCAAATTACTATAAGAAAAGTTTTCACTATTCAGTAGTAGACTAGTATACCAACCAGCATGTCTGGGTGATGACATACTAAGGATACCCATAAATAGTTACCTACCTGTTGGTGTGCCTGGTTCCTGCAAATCATCTGTAGCAGGTACTTGATCTGCAACATCTTGTTGAATGCGTTCATGGATGAAATTGTTCAACAAAAATCTGGCTTGGTGACCTATGTCATCTTTAGTCAGTTCACTTCTTGAACTCTTTTTACCTGTGGAATAATGACCATCAGTTTAAAAAATTAAAAGAAAACACAGATTAACTTGACATAGGCTCAGTTTAAGAAGCTGTCTGAAATTTATTTTATTGCTTGGATTGGGACAGAGATGTGTGTGAAGGAGACATATACTTGGTGCATTTAAGTTCTGTGAGGGTAAGACTTTGAAAAACAAACTATGATCTGGGTGACAGCTGTATGAAGCACAGTGTCTTAAAAAAATAGGTGTACTTGTCCTGGTCGCATGGGAGAGTTGCAGTGACTACCAGGTGCATATGTGCCTTAACCCTTAAAATTGTGTGCTTTGTATTGCTGCAAGTAAGTAAAGAGTACCTTAACACTTCATAATGTTGACACAGTCTGACAGATAATTGTCAGGTGATAGCATGTACAGGTCAGTAAATGTAAAAAAATATGGAACATTTATTGTTGCAAATGCTTCAAAGAACTGTTCATGTTCAAATTACCCTGCATCTCAGTAAAAAATCTTTCACTGAAAGTGTGAATTGTTTTTCAAACATAGGACCATTATGTATGGGAGTATGTCCAACCTTAATTTTTGAGAACTTTACAACCAGACTTAACAAGTTTTGACAGATAAAAGTACTCCAAATGATTATGCATATATAGGTAACATGTAACCCTGGTTAATACTAAATACCGCCTACAAGATCTCCTCGTTGTGTGATAGACTAGTAAGCCAGAGGTAAAATTGTCATATAAAAGTATTTACCGCTATTTCATCACATGTTATATGCCTAATTTTGGTTTTATTCGATCATGTTAGTTCTCTGTTCTAGTGTTGGCAATCATAATTTTGGTTTTATTCGATCATTTGGTCCTCCTCTGTTCCGGTGTTGGCAATCCTAATTTCAGTTTTATTCGATCATATTAGTTCTCTGTTCTGGTGTTGGCAATCCTAATTTTGGTTTTATTCGATCATGTTAGTCCTCTGTTCCGGTGTTGGCAATCCTATTTTTGGTTTTATTCGATCATGTTAGTCCTCTGTTCTGGTGTTGGCAATCCTAATTTTGGTTTTATTCGATCATGTTAGTTCTCTGTTCTGGTGTTGGCAATCCTAATTTTGGTTTTATTCGATCATGTTAGTTCTCTGTTCTGGTGTTGGCAATCCCAATTTTGGTTTTATTCGATCATGTTAGTTCTCTGTTCTGGTGTTGGCAATCCTAATTTTGGTTTTATTCGATCATGTTGGTCCTGCTCTGTTCTGGTGTTGGCAATCCTAATTTTGGTTTTATTCTATCATGTTGGTCCTGCTCTGTTCTGGTGTTGGCAATCCTAATTTCAGTTTTATTCGATCATATTAGTTCTCTGTTCTGGTGTTGGCAATCCTAATTTTGGTTTTATTCGATCATGTTAGTTCTCTGTTCTGGTGTTGGCAATCCTAATTTTGGTTTTATTCGATCATGTGTAATGCATCCTAATTTTGGTTTTATTCGATCATGTTAGTTCTCTGTTCTAGTGTTGGCAATCCTAATTTTGGTTTTATTCGATCATGTTAGTTCTCTGTTCTGGTGTTGGCAATCCTAATTTTGGTTTTATTCGATCATGTTGGTCCTCTGATCCTGTGTTGGAAAACCTAATTTTGGTTTTATTCGATCATGTTAGTTCTCTGTTCAATCCTAATTTTGGTGTTGGCAATCCTAATTTTGGTTTTATTCGATCATGTTAGTTCTCTGTTCTCGTGTTGGCAATCCTAATTTTGGTTTTATTCGATCATGTTAGTTCTCTGTTCTGGTGTTGGCAATCCTAATTTTGGTTTTATTCGATCATGTTAGTTCTCTGTTCTGGTGTTGGCAATCCTAATTTTGGTTTTATTCGATCATGTTAGTTCTCTGTTCTGGTGTTGGCAATCCTAATTTTGGTTTTATTCGATCATGTTAGTTCTCTGTTCTGGTGTTGGCAATCCTAATTTTGGTTTTATTCGATCATGTTAGTTCTCTGTTCTGGTGTTGGCAATCCTAATTTTGGTTTTATTCGATGATATTAGTTCTCTGTTCTGGTGTTGGCAATCCTAATTTTGGTTTTATTCGATCATGTTAGTTCTCTGTTCTAGTGTTGGCAATCCTAATTTTGGTTTTATTCGATCATGTTAGTTCTCTGTTCTGGTGTTGGCAATCCTAATTTTGGTTTTATTCGATCATGTTAGTTCTCTGTTCTGGTGTTGGCAATCCTAATTTTGGTTTTATTCGATCATGTTAGTTCTCTGTTCTGGTGTTGGCAATCCTAATTTTGGTTTTATTCGATCATGTTAGTCCTCTGTTCTGGTGTTGGCAATCCTAATTTTGGTTTTATTCGATCATATTAGCTCTCTGTTCTGGTGTTGGCAATCCTAATTTCAGTTTTATTCGATCATATTAGTTCTCTGTTCTGGTGTTGGCAATCCTAATTCTGGCTTTATTCGATCATGTTAGTTCTCTGTTCCGGTGTTGGCAATCCTAATTTTGGTTTTATTCGATCATGTTGGTCCTGCTCTGTTCTGGTGTTGGCAATCCTAATTTTGGTTTTATTCGATCATGTTAGTTCTCTGTTCTGGTGTTGGCAATCCTAATTTTGGTTTTATTCGATCATGTTAGTTCTCTGTTCTGGTGTTGGCAATCCTAATTTTGGTTTTATTCGATCATGTTAGTTCTCTGTTCTGGTGTTGGCAATCCTAATTTTGGTTTTATTCGATCATGTTAGTTCTCTGTTCTGGTGTTGGCAATCCTAATTTTGGTTTTATTCGATCATGTTAGTTCTCTGTTCTGGTGTTGGCAATCCTAATTTTGGTTTTATTCGATCATGTTAGTTCTCTGTTCTGGTGTTGGCAATCCTAATTTTGGTTTTATTCGATCATGTTTGTTCTCTGTTCTGGTGTTGGCAATCCTAATTTTGGTTTTATTCGATCATGTTAGTTCTCTGTTCTGGTGTTGGCAATCCTAATTTTGGTTTTATTCGATCATGTTAGTTCTCTGTTCTGGTTCTCAATCCTAATTTTGTTCTGGTGTTAATGGTGTTGGCAAATTTTGGTGTTGGCAATCCTAATTTTGGTTTTATTCGATCATGTTAGTTCTCTGTTCTGGTGTTGGCAATCCTAATTTTGGTTTTATTCGATCATGTTAGTTCTCTGTTCTGGTGTTGGCAATCCTAATTTTGGTTTTATTCGATCATGTTAGTTCTCTGTTCTGGTGTTGGCAATCCTAATTTTGGTTTTATTCGATCATGTTGGTCCTCCTCTGTTCCGGTGTTGGCAATCCTAATTTTGGTTTTATTCGATCATGTTAGTTCTCTGTTCTGGTGTTGGCAATCCTAATTTTGGTTTTATTCGATCATGTTAGTTCTCTGTTCTGGTGTTGGCAATCCTAATTTTGGTTTTATTCGATCATGTTAGTTCTCTGTTCTGGTGTTGGCAATCCTAATTTTGGTTTTATTCGATCATGTTAGTTCTCTGTTCTGGTGTTGGCAATCCTAATTTTGGTTTTATTCGATCATGTTAGTTCTCTGTTCTGGTGTTGGCAATCCTAATTTTGGTTTTATTCGATCATGTTAGTTCTCTGTTCTGGTGTTGGCAATCCTAATTTTGGTTTTATTCGATCATGTTAGTTCTCTGTTCTGGTGTTGGCAATCCTAATTTTGGTTTTATTCGATCATGTTAGTTCTCTGTTCTGGTGTTGGCAATCCTAATTTTGGTTTTATTCGATCATGTTAGTTCTCTGTTCTGGTGTTGGCAATCCTAATTTTGGTTTTATTCGATCATGTTAGTTCTCTGTTCTGGTGTTGGCAATCCTAATTTTGGTTTTATTCGATCATGTTAGTTCTCTGTTCTGGTGTTGGCAATCCTAATTTTGGTTTTATTCGATCATGTTAGTTCTCTGTTCTAGTGTTGGCAATCCTAATTTTGGTTTTATTCGATCATGTTAGTTCTCTGTTCTGGTGTTGGCAATCCTAATTTTGGTTTTATTCGATCATGTTAGTTCTCTGTTCTGGTGTTGGCAATCCTAATTCTGGCTTTATTCGATCATGTTAGTTCTCTGTTCTGGTGTTGGCAATCCTAATTCTGGCTTTATTCGATCATATTAGTTCTCTGTTCCGGTGTTGGCAATCCTAATTTTGGTTTTATTCGATCATGTTAGTTCTCTGTTCTGGTGTTGGCAATCCTAATTTTGGTTTTATTCGATCATGTTAGTTCTCTGTTCTGGTGTTGGCAATCCTAATTTTGGTTTAATTCGATCATATTAGTTCTCTGTTCTGGTGTTGGCAATCCTATTTTTGGTTTTATTCGATCATGTTAGTTCTCTGTTCTGGTGTTGGCAATCCTAGTTATGGTTTTATTCGATCATGTTAGTCCTCTGTTCCGGTGTTGGCAATCCTATTTTTGGTTTTATTCGATCATGTTAGTTCTCTGTTCTGGTGTTGGCAATCCTAATTTTGGTTTTATTCGATCATGTTAGTTCTCTGTTCTGGTGTTGGCAATCCTAATTTTGGTTTTATTCGATCATGTTAGTCATGTTAGTCCTCTCTGTTCTGGTTTTGGCAATCCTAATTTTGGTTTTATTCGATCATGTTAGTTCTCTGTTCTGGTGTTGGCAATCCTAATTTTGGTTTTATTCGATCATGTTAGTTCTCTGTTCAGGTGTTGGCAATCCTAATTTTGGTTTTATTCGATCATGTTAGTTCTCTGTTCTGGTGTTGGCGGTGTTGGCAATCCTAATTTTGGTTTTATTCGATCATGTTGGTCCTCCTCTGTTCCGGTGTTGGCAATCCCAATTTTGGTTTTATTCGATCATGTTAGTTCTCTGTTCTGGTGTTGGCAATCCTAATTTTGGTTTTATTCGATCATGTTGGTCCTGCTCTGTTCTGGTGTTGGCAATCCTAATTTTGGTTTTATTTTATCTCTGTTCTGGTGTTGGCAATCCATTTTTCATGTTTCTCTGTTCTGGTGTTGGCAATCCTAATTTTGGTTTTATTCGATCATGTTAGTTCTCTATTCGATCATTCTGCTGGTGTTGGCAATCCTAA